TTGAACCCCGACCTGCATGACGCGAGACCGCCGCTCTACCGTCCAGCCCAAGTGATTGCCAAAAGGTGGATAAGAACTGAAAGGGAAGCCAGCAAATGAGATTATGTTCCGCATTGCTCAAAAATGTGCTCATGTACAGAGCTGTTCATGCCACTCATGAAGGCGGTGCAGGAGAACAAGCAAGCAAGCAAACCCTCGCTTGAAGCATGCAATGCAGCCCAGCAAAGTAGAAAAAAAAAAGCATGGAAAACAACACGATGTGAAGTCTTTACAGAGGAACCAGCGTGGTGGGAGACCATACTCGCGAGATGAGAGACTAGAGGAAACACTGGATGACATAGTTAAGTACTATATAACACCCGGAGCAACTAGATGCAACACCACCAACCGGACCAGAGTTAGCATAAACATGGCTGCTGAATAAATATATATATATATATATATATATATATATATATATATATATATATATATATATATATATATATATATATATATATATGGCACAACTCTCCTAAACACGAGAGTTAAGTATACAACTTTAGAACACTTTCCCACCAGGAGACTCGAACCCTAGCCAGCACAGAAGCCTTCCAGCAACTGGCATAACAGGTACGCCTTAACCCTCTCCACCACCTGCTCAGACCCTAAAAGAGATGGTAATTTCGGAGTATTTAAATACCCCAAAGATCAACACCTCCCAAGAGCACCAGAGCAAGTGAGGGGTCATTTATACGTTAATTTCATCAAGTCCCAAGTTTCATCAAGTCCAAGTCCAATTTCATCTTTGGGGTATTTAAATACTCCGAAATTACCATCTCTTTTAGGGTCTGAGCAGGTGGTGGAGAGGGTTAAGGCGTACCTGTTATGCCAGTTGCTGGAAGGCTTCTGTGCTGGCTAGGGTTCGAGTCTCCTGGTGGGAAAGTGTTCTAAAGTTGTATACTTAACTCTCGTGTTTAGGAGAGTTGTGCCTTAAGCAGAGACACTGTGTCTTCCCATATTAACAGGGACTTGATGAAATTAACGTATAAATGACCCCTCACTTGCTCTGGTGCTCTTGGGAGGTGTTGATCTTTGGGGTATTTAAATACTCCGAAATTACCATCTCTTTTAGGGTCTGAGCAGGTGGTGGAGAGGGTTAAGGCGTACCTGTTATGCTAGTTGCTGGAAGGCTTCTGTGCTGGCTAGGGTTCGAGTCTCCTGGTGGGAAAGTGTTCTAAAGTTGTATATATATATATATATATATATATATATATATATATATATATATATATATATATATATATATATATATATATATATATATGTCGTACCTAGTAGCCAGAACGCACTTCTCAGCCTACTATGCAAGGCCCGATTTGCCTAATAAGCCAAGTTTTCCTGAATTAATATATTTTCTCTAACTTTTTTCTTATGAAATGATAAAGCTACCCATTTCATTATGTATGAGGTCAATTTTTTTATTGGAGTTAAAATTAACGTAGATATATGACCGAACCTAACCAACCCTACCTAACCTAACCTATCTCTATAGGTTAGGTTCGGTTAGGTAGCCGAAAAAGGTAGGTTAGGTAGTCGAAAAAACATTAATTCATGAAAACTTGGCTTATTAAGCAAATCGGGCCCTGCATAGTAGGCTGAGAAGTGCGTTCTGGCTACTAGGTACGACATTATATATATATATATATATATATATATATATATATATATATATATATATATATATATATATATATATATATATATATATATAATGCTGAGAAGTGCGTTCTGGCTACTAGGTACGACATTATATATATATATATATATATATATATATATATATATATATATATATATATATATATATATATATATATATATATATATATATATATGTCGTACCTAGTAGCCAGAACGCACTTCTCAGCCTACTATGCAGGGCCCGATTTGCTTAATAAGCCAAGTTTTCATGAATTAATGTTTTTTCGACTACCTAACCTACCTTTTTCGGCTACCTAACCGAACCTAACCTATAGAGATAGGTTAGGTTAGGTAGGGTTGGTTAGGTTCGGTCATATATCTACGTTAATTTTAACTCCAATAAAAAAAATTGACCTCATACATAATGAAATGGGTAGCTTTATCATTTCATAAGAAAAAAGTTAAAGAAAATATATTAATTCAGGAAAACTTGGCTTATTAGGCAAATCGGGCCTTGCATAGTAGGCTGAGAAGTGCGTTCTGGCTACTAGGTACGATAATATATATATATATATATATATATATATATATATATATATATATATATATATATATATATATATATATATATATATATATATATATATGCGGAAAATCCACAGAGAAATATGAAATGAGGTGAACGTTTCGGCTTTGTTAAAGCCTTTGTCAACACCAGACTGACTAAGGAGAAGGGAGAAGGGGGAGGATATATAGGCCGACACCTGACCAACCCATCCCTAGGGTTGGTCAGGTGTAATTAACCAAAAACAGGTATGGCTTAGCTTAGAATGGTCAAAGAGGATTAAGCGGTCAGAGAATAAGGATGAAAGAATAAAGAAAAGCCTCATGAACACGCAATATATGAATATACAATTATAATGAGACATTGTAAGCCTCTCTATCAGAGTTGTTTCTTAAATTGTTGTGCAATATTATAACTTAAAAATGGATCAAGTTTGTACATTCCAGTACTAACATTAAGAAGATTTGGACACTGACTGATTAGAGCAGACTCAATCAAATTCCGTTCCACGAAATCCCCACAATTGGTAATGCTTTTTGCCCCATTCCAGTTAATATTGTGATCGCATAAACTCGTATGTAGATACAATGCATTAGACGTTTGGGCAGTTCTAATACTATAAGCATGTTGTGACAACCGCAATTGTAAGGACTTTCCTGTTTGTCCAAGGTACACAGAATCACAATCATTGCAGGGAATCGAATACACACAACCTGCTGTATCAGGGGAGTTTTTTATTAAATTGGATTTGATCGTATTATTAGTGAACACCAAATTTATATTAAGTTTCTTAAAAACCAGAGGCAATTTTTCAAGTCCACTCGCATAAGCTACCACCAATGAGTTAATAATTTTTGGTTTCGCCTTAGGGACGTGATTATAAAACGATATATATATATATATATATATATATATATATATATATATATATATATATATATATATATATATATATATATAGGGCCCTATATAACACACCAGTGTCGGGTTGAAAATAACAAAAATAATCGGGTTGAAAATAATTTAACACATGGAGTGGGTTAACTTTAGGGGGGTGAGAGGGAGGTGGGAAATTATCAGGGGGAAGCACCAAGCCATTACGACTATATAGCACTTGGAAGGGGTCAGGATAAGGATTTGGGATGGGACTGTGGGGGGGGGGGAATGGTGGCCAACCACTTGGACGGTCGGGGATTGAACGCCGACCTGCACGAACCGAGACCGTCCAGCCAAGGTGGTTGGGCAGGTGTTGGGTGGTGGGAGAGGGGTGGCAGGTGTTGGGTGGTGGGAGAGGGGTGGCAGGTGTTGGGTGGTGGGAGAGGGGTGGTGGGAGAGGGGTGGTGGGAGAGGGGTGGCAGGTGTTGGGTGGTGGGAGAGGGGTGGCAGGTGTTGGGTGGTGGGAGAGGGGTGTTGGGTGGTGGGAGAGGGGTGGCAGGTGTTGGGTGGTGGGAGAGGGGTGGCAGGTGTTGGGTGGTGGGAGAGGGGTGGCAGGTGTTGGGTGGTGGGAGAGGGGTGGCAGGTGTTGGGCGGTGGCAGAGGGGTGGCAGGTGTTGGGCGGTGGGAGAGGGGTGGCAGGTGTTGGGCGGTGGGAGAGGGGTGGCAGGTGTTGGGCGGTGGGAGAGGGGTGGCAGGTGTTGGGCGGTGGGAGAGGGGTGGCAGGTGTTGGGTGGTGGGAGTGTGGGGCAGGTGTTGGAAGAGTGTGGCAGGTGGTGGAAGAGTGTGGCAGGTGGTGGAAGAGTGTGGCAGGTGTTGGAAGAGTGTGGCAGGTGTTGGAAGAGTGTGGCAGGTGTTGGAAGAGTGTGGCAGGTGTTGGAAGAGTGTGGCAGGTGTTGGAAGAGTGTGGCAGGTGTTGGAAGAGTGTGGCAGGTGGTGGAAGAGTGTGGCAGGTGTTGGAAGAGTGTGGCAGGTGTTGGAAGAGGGTGGCAGGTGTTGGAAGAGGGTGGCAGGTGTTGGAAGAGGGTGGCAGGTGTTGGAAGAGGGTGGCAGGTGTTGGGCGGTGGCAGAGGGTGGCAGGTGTTGGGCGGTGGCAGAGGGTGGCAGGTGTTGGGCGGTGGCAGAGGGTGGCAGGTGTTGGGAGAGTGTGGCAGGTGGTGGGAGAGTGTGGCAGGTGGTGGGAGAGTGTGGCAGGTGTTGGAAGAGTGTGGCAGGTGGTGGGAGAGTGTGGCAAAAGGGTGGCAGGTGGTGGGAGAGGGTGGCAGGTGGTGGAAGAGGATGGCAGGTGTTGGAAGAGGGTGGCAGGTGGTGGGAGAGGGTGGCAGGTGGTGGGAGAGGGTGGCAGGTGGTGGGAGAGGGTGGCAGGTGGTGGGAGAGGGTGGCAGGTGGTGGGAGAGGGTGGCAGGTGGTGGGAGAGGGTGGCAGGTGGTGGGAGAGGGTGGCAGGTGTTGGGAGAGGGTGGCAGGTGTTGGGAGAGGGTGGCAGGTGTTGGGAGAGGGTGGCAGGTGGTGGGAGAGTGTGGCAGGTGGTGGAAGAGGGTGGCAGGTGGTGGAAGAGGGTGGCAGGTGGTGGAAGAGGGTGGCAGGTGGTGGAAGAGGGTGGCAGGTGGTGGAAGAGGGTGGCAGGTGGTGGAAGAGGGTGGCAGGTGGTGGAAGAGGGTGGCAGGTGGTGGGAGAGGGTGGCAGGTGGTGGGAGAGGGTGGCAGGTGGTGGGAGAGGGTGGCAGGTGGTGGGAGAGGGTGGCAGGTGGTGGGAGAAGGTATCAGGTGTTGAGGAACAAGATCTACAGTAAGGAGAACATGAAGGAGGCGGCTGCTCACCTCTAAGGCCGTCTTGACAGTGTTCTCGTTGATGGTGTGTAGCCAGGTCTTCTTGATGGCCGGGCCGCCGTCGACGCTGTTGTAGAGCCAGGTGAAGATGTTGTTGGTCCACCTGGCGGCGTCTGGGTCAGCTCCCGTGGCCACAGGAGACGACACAGGCTCTGCCACCCCATCAGGCACGATGGTGGGCTTCCTGGCAGGCTCCGCCGGAGGGGCTGCAGCAGGGCGTGACCTCCCTGACCCTCCTCCGGCTGACCTCTTCGACGACGCCTCCGTCACATTCTTCTTGTCCTGGGACTCGCCTCTGGGCTGGGAGTCCTGCGACCTCCCCGAGTCACTACTCTCGAAGTGGTGTATGAACTTGAAGTAAAAGAACGTGCCGATAATTAAGATCAACGCCACGAATACCATCCATCCCACCAGTAGGGTGTTGAGGGTGTCCATGACGGAGGAGAGGCCCAGGCCACTCAGGCCAAGTGCCACCCACGATCGCACTTGCTCAACTAAACCCTCGAAAGCTAACGCCATGTTGCCAGTGGCTCCCTCTACCCATGCCCAAAATACCCCCCGAGCTGCTTCTTCATGCCCACTACTGCCCATGGCTAAAAATACCCGCCCCGGGCTGGGCGACTCGGAAATAGACAGGTAGGTCCTCGTCAGCCCGTTCCTGCGGCGGCGTTGGGCCTGTCCCAGATCATGTTTCTGCACCAGCCACAGGTGCCTGGAGCTGCCACACTGGTCTAAGACAACTGGCGAAGGCGAAGACCTCTTACTGCTGCTCCTCGCGCACCAACCCACCTGACGCGACTGATTGTTGCCATGGTGATACCGATTGAATCTGCCGCTTGCCGCGCGTAATGTCGTCGTACTGTAATACACCAAATATGCAAATAGATCGCCGCTGCTCTTTCAGCTTTATTATGAATGGAGAAATAGTCAGAGCTACATTGTGATGGTTTGCATGATTCTATATAAGCAGCTTTCTAAGTAGGCTATTGCCTAATATGAAGTAATTAATGGCAATGTAATGCCTTATAAAGACTGAAGCCACAAACGTTTGTTTACATCCGTTTATTGTTTTCCATAGGCTGGCGGACGAACGATACACGCTCTAATGTAGTACCTCTTGTGGCGAGGAAATTCCTTAAGCCATGATAATGAATGTCTGGTGTCATGCTGCCCTCTCACCTTATTTGTGCCTCTTTATTTAGTTCAGTTTAATAAAGTGTTGGTGCGTGGTTACTGAGTACAGAATATATTATATTAGCGTACTAATACTAGAGCGCTGTGTATATTAGTGGCTTTACAAGAATGTAAACACACCATGTTTAGATGAGTACTCTCATCAACCAAATGAATAAATAAATAAGTAAATAAATAAATAAATATGAATTATTATTTTGATTTGATTGTTGCCGTCGGCGGCGGCTAGTTTATTGTGCACCCCATACTCATCCTGTGAACGGTAGAGCAAAAAAGAATTACAGAGGGTACAAAAGGTCTTTATAAGACCTCAACGGAGATTATTACACTTAACAATTTCATCTCTCCTTCACACCTTATAATTATAATAGCTAGTTTCAGAGAATGTTCCATTTAAATATATTTTCATCTTTGTTCTGTTAGTGGCTTTGCAAGAATGCACAAATACCAATCTTATGTAATCTCACCAACCCATTGTACCCTCTTGTGAATAAATTATTATTATTATTATTATTGATAAAATCCATAGGAGCCGTAATGAGAGTTCGAACCTATTCGGTGGGTGTTTCCACGCACAGCTCTAGTCAACTAGGCCATGACATGGTCTAAGGCATGTGTGTGGGAACATCATCGCATAGGTTCAAATCCTCATCACAGCTCCTATGGATTTCCTCATTGATACATCACGTTATTGCGATTACTCACTGTGTATTATTATTATTATTTCTGGGTTGACATAAACACATTTTATATTGCTTCAAATTAATATACCACAATATAATGGTTGTTTTGGGAGAATTTTTCATTTAAAGACCATTTGGACACCATTTTATATGCATTAGGACATTTAAAATACTTTACATATAAAAGTCTAAATTTATTGAGAGTAATAATTCATGCATGCACACACAGTGCACTAGGCAGTGATGTGGTGGTAGCAGACTCCATACACAGTTTCAAATGTAAATTTGATAAAAGACCCCAATAGGCTCCAGAATCTCTACACCAGTTGATTGACAGTTGAGAGGCAGGACCAAAGAGCCAAAGCTCCCCCCCCCCCCCACAAGCACAACTAGATGAGTACAGTAACAAGCAGTTTCAAAGTGTTATACAACAAAGAGTACTGGGATGATGGGAAACCATGAGATTAGCTCTCATCGTGTAACTAAACTTAGATAATTACACACATACATACATTACTTGCATTTCTGGAATGCATTAGAAAGTGATTAATTTTTTTTAATTTTGCCCCGAGGGGCGAGTTTATTGGGCAGCGCCACTCATCTTGTGAGTGAACATACCGCCATAGCAGAATGTACAACACTCCCCAATAGGAAGAAAACCCGCTGGGTTGTTCATCCTGTCACTTGTTTATAAGACCATCAGGAACCTGTACACCAGTTGATTGACAGTTGAGAGGCAGGACCAAACAACTGAAGCTCCACTCTCTAGTTAAGCTTCTCTAGTCAACTCTACAAACACAAATAGGTGAGTACACACTAGAGTGAGCGAGAGAAATATTTGTTGTAGATATGCCGGAAACACTATGAATATTATTGGTTTTGCAGAAATGTAAGAACACCAATGTTATGTACTATTACAACCCAATGTACCTTCTTGTAAATAAATATTGGATAAATAAATATATGAGGGATAATCTGCCAGGAGACAGTGTAGTAGACAACCAACAGTTAGAAAGTCATAAGGCTTTCAGGGGGCCATAGAGCTAACAACTCGATCCTGTAAGCACAACTAGTAAAATAGCAAATACAATCACAAGAAAATTAACATGTGATGAATAATGTGAAATCATATGCCCACGAAGGGAAAATGAAACTACAGGTATAATTAAGCACTTTCGTGATAATCAACACATCTTCATAAGTATGAAACTATGAACAATATTATGATGATGATGAAGATGAAGTCACCAAAGAGGTGACATGGGCATGAGTAGCCTTCTGGTGGTAGATGTTTAGAGGGAATGTAATATTTGGCCATCAGGACAGTACAAAACAACTTTGGAGGGAAATATCTAGGAAGGAAAAGGAGAGATACATTTGAGATGGGATTTTTTTTCTTTTAATCAAGGTTAATGAGGTATAAGAAATGAAGAAACTGCAAGAGGCCTACTGACCTATACATGTCAATTCCTAAAAGTAATTTATTCTTGTGGAAATAGTTGTCTAGTAATACTGTCTTTTTCTTTTGTACATAATCCATTAAAAATGGGATCAATGTGTATAAATGATTATTAATATTTGTGTTATGTGGCTGTGTAATTTGTATTAAAAGATTCAATAATATTTATATTTAAATTGCTTTTACAGTTTGAGATTGTACTGGTGCCTCCAATTAAAACATCCTACAGGAACTAATTTTCCACAGCTCACAAAACGGAGAAAAAGTCCTAAAAGACACTATTGATAGAAACGTGACCCCTACCGACACGAACCATTAGCTGAAGTTAATAATACACTATAAGAGCAAGAAGACCACCAACTTGCTTGTGAAGAACTTTCCTGTCACCAAGGAAAATAATGTATCTTGAATGAGTAATGTTATCTACACCTTCAGTGCCCACTTGGGAACTGTCAGCCACAACGTCTTCGGTATATAGGCGAGACATCATCTCTTTCAAGGCGGCAGACAATGCACAAATAGTAATACAGTACTGTATGTTCCTTGGCTTCACTAAGAAACATACTTAACAAATACTGAATAGTTTGGAGGCCACTGATCCAGACAATGTCTTCAAAAGGTCAGATGTAACATGAAAAAGGAACAATGGTTTCAAGCTTAACAAGCCAAAATGTAGGTCAGAAAACAGATGATACTTTTCACCAATCGGGTTATAAACCTACGTAGTGCCAAATATAAAATGCCAAAACACTGCTGAATTTCAAAATCAAGCTTGATAAAATCATTAGTACAAATGTGGGGACCTTTGACAACCCGCCGGCTTCCTGTCCTTGTGGAGGCTGCTAGAGCGGCCTACAGGTAAATATAGGGTCCCTACATACAACCGGATCATCACCAGATATCCTAACAAACAACAGTAAAATAATTGACAGATACAACGGATACAATGACAGTAGAAGATTGGATATCGGTAAAGCACTGCACATTAAGCAAATTCAGCCAACCCTCAACAGCTACACAGCTAACACATGGTTACACTCTGCCATCATCTAGACCAAGATGGAGCATCCAAAATACTGCTCCAGCCATCACTGATATGTATGAGAGATGGGCAAGATGCTGTGGGCCTATTGGCCCTTGCAACACTCTCCTTACTCTCCTCTATGTATTTGTTTGCTTCAGCCAACCTGTACTCACTTTTACTCCGTCTTTGAACACGGAACTCATCTCTTAGCATCCTTTGAAAATATTGACAGAATCAGCGAAATGCGTCTTTTAGTGTCGGGCCACAATAAAACTGTAAAATGAATTCTGAAGAGATAAATTTTCAACTTCCTTCTTAAGTGAAGAAGAATATAAGAAATACAGATATGATTTGTTTTTGAAACCTGGAACTTCATTTATTTAACATAACTAAACAACATTGCAGAAAAAGTATTAGAAAGTTCACTTTTGCAGAATGGTAGACAGTTGGAACATATTAAGTAAGAAAGTGGTGGAGGCCAAAACCATCAGTAGGTTCAAAACTTTATATGATAGAGAGTATAGTACTGGGAAAACAGGACACCACGAGCATAGTTCTCATCCTGTAACTACAATTAATTACCATGTGATAAAAAAAATAGAAAATATATGCAGTCAAATGCAGCACTATACGTTTGAACATCTTCACGAGTTTTGTGACATTTCACTACCAGTTCACAGAATTATGAAACATTAATTCATTATTTATTGTCAGCATCATAAAAACTATAACAGCTATCAATTAAGTTACAATTATAGCACTTTGTTGTTGGCATGCTGGATGCTGAGTGAGCTACTGAGCGCTGTTGCACTCACTCTCAGTGGACGACTGAACAAGACAGCCGAAATGATCTAGAAAAAAATAATCACACGAGCCTCGGTGGAGCATGTGGCAGTTACCGGATTCCAGTTTTGTTACAATCTCAAGATTAATTGTCTATCATTAACTTTTATTATTACTATTATATTATTGTATACGTAATTTTTTCATTTATTATGGAAGCCCCATTTTTGTGGAAATTGGTTTGGCTGCACCATTTGCCATTTAGCACAATGCATCAATTATACAATGTATGTGATATAACTATATCCTGAGCTTGTAAAAGCATCTTAATCACCTTCAGTGGTTAAGTGCTTAATAACACACTAGTTTCTATAGCAGCTATCTAACCCTGTCAGAGTAGGAGAGACATAATTGTATGTGTGTATATATACAGTATGTATGTGTGTATACAGGATATGTGGAAGCTGGTCAGAATTGCATTTCACCTTTGTAAATGCACATTAATGACACTGTAAAGAGACACATCGAACAGTGTTTATGTAGTGCAGACGTAAATCTGTGTATTTATATATGTAGGTTACATTAGCATTTTAATAGCACTACTGTACAATCACCTTCTGTAGTTGAATGTTCAATAAATCACTGAACTATATGTATAACAGATCTCTCACCCTGTCCATGGAGGACAGAAGGAAATGTACATATGCTGATTAGCACTGTAAATGTGTGGCCACGTCTGTGGGAGAAGAAAAAACAAAACATGGTTCATGGTAAGTCCAGCATTAGAAATTTTCAGTGGTGCCCCCCTTCTCTTGATGCCCTAAGTATGTGTTTTTTGCTTAATGGTTAATCTAATGAATAGACTAAGTTCAGGTGGAGGTTAACAGCACCTCAAATTCCAGATCCCTAAACACCACTGGAGCCAATTCTGGGGCATCCAAACTGGAGTTCCTACCGTGTGCTGGCCAGCACATACTCGCTCGCTCTCGCCTTTCTCTTCGTCTCGTACATATTATACATTTTATCTGTTTATTTCATGAAATAATTTAACTTATTTTTCCATGAATGAGGTCAATTAAAAAATACTATCTGGAAAGCATGTTTATTTTAAGATTTTACACTGAGGGATATCTCTTGGATTGTTGAATACTATATACAGAATGTTATTCTTCCCAAAGTCAGAATCTTCATCACAGGATTATTTTGGTATAGGAACATGGGAAAAAAAAAGGAATACTATAAATGAGACCTAATAGTTGCTATATGGCAACACATAATACATGGCTAAACACTACCCATACAAATATCCTAAAAACCTTTCCTGTTCAAACTAGATGTCACTCAATGCTAATTATAGGTATTTGCAGCTACATATTTTGTTATTTTAAGGAAAGTAATGTTCAAGAAAACTAAGAAAATAATCAAATAACATTTACAAAATATCTGTTCAGGGTAGTTCCATGTTTAGCTGCATCTACTCTGTACTTCAAAGTCATTCAAAATTAATGACTATATTTACAATTAAATATACTTGTGCTTTTGGATTAACACCAAACTTTAATTATAACATTAAAAACCTTTCCATTACTCCCCCCAAAGACCCAAGAGAGCAGGAGTCCCACATGTTACAGTGCTCCAAGTCTGCTCTGGGTGAGGCCGTCGATGCCATATGTCTCTCTTTGGTTCCCTATGAAAAACAATTTGATACTTTGTACCTTGTATGTGCCTCCATTCCGTAGGCTAAAAAATTAAATATCAAGATCTGTTACAGAGACAAGCTTTACATGTAAATATATGAAAGAGGAAAGGTATGAATGAGGAAAGTTAAAACATCGCAAGCTTTATTTAGAAACTTTTGTATCATGAAAGTTTGTTTATTATGTTTGAAGACAATCACAGACTACTGTTGGTTTCGGATTTGAGTATAACTAGAATATACAGGTAATGTTGACATCACAGTAACAGTCAGTGGATGATGATGCATCTCAATCTAAACTCAAATTTGTGGGGGTCTTAGAGGGTAACTGACATTAATTGCAACTAACTACTCTTTGCCACCATTACAAGCTAGCAACCCACATGCAAATACAGTTCAAGGTGACAAATGCAAGGCATAAACAATGTAAACTTTTTCAAGAATTTTCACCATTCCACTTGCAATGTGAAGATACTTAACTAGATTTCTATCACAGGTATATAATCTGAAAGGGTATCAGACAGTCTTGGTAAATAAATAGGTTTCATTAAAACAATATTAATGTAACATCCATGTTATCTACTGGTAACTCTCCTGGCTGATAATTATCCACTGCTGCAAAGGCAAAACTATTAAGGCCTCCAATTAAGTAAAGAAATGAGTTAAATTGAGCTATACCCTCAACTATAGGAAGAATTGCAGTCCCTGAAATTGAGTATCTGACATGGATCTATAACTTCAGTATCAAAGACCACCGACTACTCTATCCTACCTGCATTTGAGCATAATAAATAACCTACCCGCCAATCTCCTCCAACTTGCCCAATACTATACTGTAAAACTTTCAAAATTACCATTAACAGCTCTATACTGTACAACCTAAACTATCCTAACTTGCAGACGACGAGTCATAATCAAGTAAGTGTAATAGTCCATGACGGACCGAAACAACATCAATTCTTCACTTTTAAATTTGTGGGTTGGGTGTTTATCCTAACTTTCAACTTCTGAGTTCTTAAAAAATCACACAAAGCAAAAATACTGTCTGATTGCTTTTGGAATAATGCCACAATCACGCAGGGTACTGGTACAGTATATCTATACGATAACGTGTGGAATGCAGAAAAATGCACCAGTAAATTACATCAACAAATTGATGTTTTAAATATGGTTGCATCGAGCTCATATTGAACTAATCACCTGATCGAGAATCTATATTTAGAATACAAATGTAATGCAAGAGGAATGATCACTAAACTACCAAACTTTGACACTAAGAAGCCATTGCCAATGTGGCAGAAGTGGATCTGATACTGGTTGTTAGAAAGAAAAGGGGTAAATAGCACTAAAATAATGTATTTTTTGTGCATGTATCACCTTGGCTATTTAATATATCTGTCTGTATGTTGGTGTGTAAAACACTGTCAGTTAGCCTTTAACACCTTCACATAAAACAGAGATCACTTACATCACATGTGTGAAATTTACCTCCCAATTAATACTTTCACCAGTTTCTCTTAAGTTTCTTTGCACTCTTAATGGTGGTATGTTCCCTCCAAACTTCTGTAACTTATATACAATATAATCAAATCTAGAGGAAATACTGCTTTCACCCAAGTTTCACTGTATATGGCATTCTTGAACTATATATGCAACGTTATTGCACTCGAGAGCTGAACCACGTACATAAGACTGTCTGCCTAAACTGAAAGAACAGAACAAGAAACCTGTGTTTGATGACAAAATAATCACATACTGGCTTACAACTTTCCTTGGGAGGAATTGACATGTTCAGACAAAATAAATAAAAATCCTACCTTAGCATCAGCATGATCAGCACCATTAAGTAACAAAGAACAGTCAGCCCTCATTGATCTGACCCAACTTTATCAAATCAAAGCTGGCTTGGCAAATTCTGATGGAACAAGTGTCGAATTTTGATTCCTAATAAAATGACTGTGGTTAAAAAAAATAATAACTGCAACAATAATTACAAATAAAAAAGGAATGAAAATAGCCCAATCACAACTGTCGCAGAAACAGAGTCACAAAATGGAACAGCGACACTCATTCCAATCCAAGCATCAAGGCACGTGGATTAGGCCTTACTCAGATACCTGGACACAGGCAGTCTTGGGAGTTGTCATGAAAGACCCTTGACACTTGAACATTCAGGTGCAGAGCTTTCCCCTGTCAAATTAACTAATATACAGGCAAGTAGACACTGTAATGATTATTATGAGTGTACAATAATTCTTGAAGTTAATACCAATGTCAAAAAGTGTTCTAGAAAATATAGACTGAATAAAATGCAGAAACTGCACTTTAACAGTGTATGACTTTTTAAGTCAAGTAACCCACGAACTAAACAAAATATGGTCCGTTTGGACAGGGGAAACTCCTACCACATACCCGTTCACATGGAGGCAGGATAAACACATTTGTTGACAAATATACACAAACAATGATTACTGTGTTGCACCTCACTTCAGAGGAAATACGGTGTTGTGTGAACTGGAGGTATTACTCTCTTGTCATCTGGAACTGCATCAAATAACTTTGCATGCTTCTCATTCGTCGACGTAAAGCTGAGGATTGAAGCCACATTACCAGCACGGTAGCAGTAGTTTGGAGCAGACCACACAGTTACCAGCTTACCCTCAAACATGTACTTGATACCTGTTGTAATACACAATTAAAATTGGTAGACTTCTTATACAAATCCTATATTAATATTATCCTATGCTTTATTCCAATAACCAATCCTGCATTAAACTACAGCTACAGAACAAAAAAAATTAATGAGTGAATTAATGTATACATTTATTGACTTGGAAAAAGCATATGACAAAGTTAATAGGGAAAGAGAAATCCATAGGAGCTTTGTTGAGGATTCAAATCTGTGCTGGGTATTCTCAGGCACTCGGCCCAGACAACCAGGCCACAACACAGTAAAAGGATTACAACCTGGGGTTCTACTGAACTCACGAGGGCTCCCGAGGCTTCCAGTGAAGCCGAACCAGGATTTCACCCCCCCCCCCGTACATGACATACCATGTCATGGCCAAGTTGTCTGAGGCATGTGCCTGGGAATACCCACCACATAGGTTCAAATTCTCAATACGGCTCCTACGGGTTTTTCATTGATATTTCATATTAGTGTGATTTCTCTCTGTGTACTGAAAGAGGAGTGTCAGAGGTAGAACATTCCTAGACAACTGAGCCAGAGCCCAGAAGAAAGAACCCCAAAATCAGCTGCCAAGACTGTGGCCAACCTCCAAAACCCATGTGCCCAAACACCAATCCAGGGCATAACGGCAAAGACGGGCAAGAGAGTGGCCAACCCTCAACATCTACCTCCACCTTCAATTAACACCAGCATAATCACCTAGCCCTTTCCAAGATCATATGTGGAGAAATATCTGGATAATTTATGAATAACCATATTTATTGTTACTATTACTATACTGTACCAATATTTTGTGGTGTTTTGTTTGCAGTATCTAGTAAAACAATTATGTATTGTTACATACTTTCGTATATAAAATTATTATTTTTCGTGCCTGGGGGGCGGGATTCAACTACGTATTTATACGGACACGACTACATATCCAATCGCAATTGGGCCCGAGGTGTATGGAAGGATGGCGAGTGTCACAGTAATATAGCAGCATGGGTACAGGAAAATCTTACCTTCATTGACAAGTTGATGAGCTCTACAGATGAGTTTTAAGTTGTTCGTTTCCGTAAATTGATGCGTGACTTTGGCGCCAAAGAGCCAACCCGCTCCTCTCGGAGACATAGACCAGGCATCGATCTCTTCTGGGTCACTCCATACCAAATCACAGAAGGCACCTATCAAATATAATTTGCTTGTGAACACATGACAGTAATATCCAGTGGTTAGTTATTGTACATAATTTTGAATCTTACAGAGAGAGACCCTTTACAGCAATGCAAGCTCCCATGGGTATTTAGTTGTACGGGGGTTACACACCTAAAAATTAGAGTATATTGCCAATTTCTTAAATATACATTTAGTATACTTTACTGTTCCTTACTTTGATTACATATCACTGTACACATGAAAAACCCTTTGATTGTCAGATAGACAATGATAGGTACATATCCACTGTAACCTATAAATATTAATAATCATTTATTGTATTTTTCACATGTTAATTATCTTTAGGAACATGAATATGGAAACCCTATTGTCGACCACTATGTAGTGCAGTCAGGCTTGCATTCCCTGTACTGTAGTGGTAGAGGGACTGTATGAGGGACAATTCTTCCCAAAATGTTTTCTAACTAAAGGCAAAAATCAGCCCAGTTCTTGGTGTCTTTCACTATGTTCTTCACATTTTCTCTCATCTGGTTCATGTGCATCTATACCATAACAGTGGAAAATGGGCTAGTAAAAATACAAAATTTTTTTATGGAACTAGCAGAAATGTAAATTGTTAAGAGGGCGGGGGGGATAAGGGGGAAGAAGGTAGAGGAGGGGGGAGGGGAAGGTGGAGAAAGTAGAGGGTGTATCTTGAGATGATTTCGGGGCTTTAGTGTCCCCGCAGCCCGGTCCTCGACCAGGCCTCCACCCCCAGGAAGCAGCCAGTGACAGCTGACTAACACCCAGGTACCTATTTTACTGCTAGGTAACAGGGGCATAGGGTGAAAGAAACTCTGCCCATTGTTTCTCGCCGGCGCCCGGGATCGAACCCGGGACTACAGGATCACAAGTCCAGCGTGCTGTGCGCTCGGCCGACCGGCTCCCCCTCAGGGTGTGGGGAAGGAAGAGAAGGTGGGAGGTCAAGGGGGTGGAGAAGGTAGACAGGGTGAGGAAAGAGAGAGAGAGAGATAACGAGAAAGACAGACAACTCGTACTAGTTATTTCACTAGTTTGTTGACATTTCATTATTTATCTTACCTTTATGAGGAATCTCCTGATTTCGGTTAATTGTTCTAATCTGGTCAAGAGTATTGATTTCTGGAGAGAGGCCTCCATGGACACACAGAACTTCATCATCAATGATCTGCAGATTGTGAACATAAACAATTAACTTTAAATCAAAGCCATTGATAGGATGTAGGTTAAGAAATATAGTGAGAATCAAGAACTGTACAGTGGAACCTCGGTATTCGTACTGCTCCCAATTTATACTTTTTGGCATTCTGACACTTTGTTCATATTCGGTATTCATCTGTTGACTTGGCATTCACACGTAAACATGCATACCCTGATGCGTCAGTTTTGCCATAGCTGTCATTCAGTGCACAACCCACTACACTTTTCTCTTAGATATTTTGGAATTTTTGTATATTCTTAGTGTAAATAAGTCACCATGTTACCAAAGAAAGGTAGTGATAAGAGCCAAGCAAAAAGAAAATTGGTTAGAACCACGATAGAGAGAAAAAAAACCTCTTTGCTAAGCATGAAAGTGGTGCCTGTGTGTCTGCTCTTGTTATCGATTTTGGTATGCCTAAATCTAGTTCTCTAATAAAAGAAGTGTGCAAAATGGGGGGAGGGGGAATGCAAAGAAAATTTCTTGAAAAAATATCACCCAGACAAAGCTGTCACAAACTGTTATAAACCTGTTGAGTGACAATGCTAGGTCTCACTTTAGAAACATTTTAATGCTCAGGCAAAAGCAATCATCCATGGACAAGTTTCTTGTAAGAAAAGCATCCAGCGAGTCTAATGAGGGAAACATAAAAAGACAAGAAAGAGAAAGAACCCCAGGTGCACAACCACCAGGAGTTATAATAGTAGGGGACTTCCCTGCCAAAGAATAACATCTCTCTTCCTCTGCCTCGCCACCTTCCACATATGCCATCAACTCTCCTAAGTGCAGGTAAAGTGCTTAGTGTGTTAGCATTTATTTCATTTATTATTGCATTAATATATTTATTTTTGTGATCTGGATCGGATTAATCCAATTTACATTATTCCTTATGGGATTTTTTTTCAGTGTTCAAACTTTTCGGCATTCGTCCCACCTTCAGGAACCAATTACAGTAAGTCTGAATACCGAGGTTCCCCTGTATTAGACTCAAGTTGCTAATTTTTTGACGCCTTAAACCAACCTTTTTGAATCTGTCTTATTAATATGTAGTCCCTCCCACCCCCATGACCTGGCCATGGATCAAGGTACAAATCACATACTGGAGATGTGACTTTTGTATTGTCTGGCAACAAACTCACCAATGCTATCATGTCCTGCCATACTAAATTCCACTCTGTTAATTTACAACTAAAAACCATTTGTGGTGATACACCTTTATGTCCCCCCTACAAAAAAAATCCCTAACAAGCTATGCTGTTATGTAGCAACAGATGGTGCTAATGAAGCCATGAATAATGAATTGTCTAAAAGTATACTGTGAAGAGCAAGAGTTGCAAGTTGGTATGGGCATGCTGGGGAAATTATACACCTATTAGCCAACCTGAATGGGTACAGCCTACGACTGCATGAAATATGAGAAAAAGCAGATCAAATCTAAATGCAAAAGTCATAAGGAGACAACTGTGGCAACTGAAGTGTTCTCACATATAATATCCTTCCATACTGCAGAAAGAAATGCCATTAATAGATAAATTGTCACTAAAATGGGAAAATATTGTTCTGGTTATTATATTTGATGAGCCATCTGCTTTGGATGTTGATCATACTAACCCCTGAATAGAATCTCATTCAGTAAGGGCAGTTTGACAGCACAGCAGGTAACTTTTCAGTCTCCCTGCTGGGTCACACTGGTGTAGGGAGACAATGGAAACGCTTAACCCAGCCAAAAAGTGCATTCAAACAAAATTTGAATGTTTTTCTAAGTTCTACTAGGTATCACAAAGACTACAAGCAGTGTTCTCACTATCTAATAATGACCTACTAGGTCATTATTAGACCACCACCACTCGGTGTTGACCCAAACATCACAAAGTCAACTAACCATCTCCCCAAGTTCTATCATGCCTGACCCCTGCACCATGTTGTATTGGCAGTGCCCTCTTATCTTTGCCTGACCATTAAAACCTTATGCAGATGACAGTTAGGATAGAATGCATGAAGCCTGGGTCAGGAAACTGTTGTGGTTTAGGTGCTGCCACCTGGCAGAGGTCAGGAATAATAATCTAGTGGGCCATTAGGCAGTTAAGTGTGAACGATGCTTGGAAGTCTTTGCAATGCCTAGGAGTGAATGAAACAACAAAGTTTTATATGAATAAACGTCTAGGTACATTTTGGATTGATTGAGTATTCTCAATTGTCTCCCAAATACAGTAACAGTATTACCCTAAGAGGATTGTTTGAAAAGTTTTCTGCTGTGGTGAAGAAAGTTCACCTCCATGAGTGAGAGATCCTCACCAGGGTGTCCAAAAATCAAAGCAACTGAGTATGGATCAGATAAGCATTTATCAAACATTTAATTTATATTTAGTGACACTAATGATGAAACAAACCCTTTAATATTAACTTACAGCAGCTATAGTGAGTAGATCGAATACTTTGCAGCAGTATTTCCAAGCATTTACATTCCCATACTTGTTTTGGCACTCATCTGTAAAACAAAGAAAACAAAAAATTAATAAAATAAACAATTCATGGAAAAAATTTGCAATACAATACACCCTTTTTCACTTGGGAACTGTCTGCTTGCTCCAGCACTCCCCAAGATTGTGGGCAAGTGGCAGCTCCCTCTGTAACTGTCTGTGCTGTCCTGCAACTCTTGGCTGTGAATGACAACAAGATGTGTATGCACTTAGCAGTGTCTTGAGGGTTTGAGTTCTCATGGAAGGGCTCTCCGGGCAGCTCCATGAGGATGTGGCTTCACCCTGTACTGCCCTGGGTATGGAGGCCTTGAAGTACTTATACAGTTCATGCTTTGACAGCCTTGTCCAAGATGCTCACCCTCTCCTTGGGAGGCAAGGGCAGCATTTTACTTGGCCCACCTCACTTGTTGACAGACAGTGTTGGCCCATTCATTAGATCTGGCTTGGACCCATTAATCTTTGTCCCTCTCCATTTTCAAGCCTCTCTTCTATATCCAGAGGATGCAGTGTCCCAAGTTCTGTCTGCAGCAGCTTTTGCCTGTTGGCCTATTGACCAGTTGTTGTTTTCTTGAGGTTCTGTCCCCACACAGAGGCGGTCAGGTAGGGTCAGCCTACCTGACTGCCTGCGATAATGCCCTAGGTTGATATTCGGGCATGGGGGTTTGCGTGTTCTAATGGTTCTGGAGCCAGGTATTTAGTTAATGTCTTTGGTCCCAGTCGGTCATGTGGTACCTTTGAGTTTCTCCCCCATCCTGGATTATCTTCTTTAACCTAGTACATGTTACCTCTCCTCCCTAGTGAATCCTGTTTCTTGTTCTCTGTGGTTAGTTAGCTCCAGGTAGCCACCAGGGGGCTGCTCCAGAAACCCAGCGTTGACTATAATGAAATGCCTCCTTCTGGACGAGCCCTGGTGGCTCTCTGGTACCCTCCCATCCAGGTTAGTCAATTCATCAGTATGCTGTTCATCAGCTCCAGAACTGGCTAGCAATATGGCCATGTGTGGAAACTGGGCCGTGTGGTGGTGGCATTTGGTACTTTGAGTTTTGTGCTAATTTTGAATGTTTCTCATCTTATGTGTGAATAGTTTGTGAGTTGTATGGTATTTTTGAGTTTTGAGTTTTTCTTAATCCTCCAATTGTCTATAAAGTTTCAACGATTTTCTGGATGCTTTTCCAGTGTGGTGACAAATTGTCACTTGTTCTCTGCACCTCTGTGAGGGGGGAACTAGATTTTGGCACTGGTCCCCAGTAGGGCAAACAGATCTCCTGCATCTAATGTTGCCAATTAGCATGGAGTCAGGAATCTCAGAGATTCAAGGAGCCACCGGACACATCCAGAGAGAGGCGTTTCGTTGCATTCAACACCAGGTTTTTTTATGATATTGGCAGCCCTGCTGTATGAATGTCATGCATCACTGAGGGCTAAAATTTTGCACATGTTACCTACCTCATGTATTCTAACATCCTACCAAATTTTGTGTAAATATGAGATGGTTGGATTGAGAGCTGTGATGATCATTTTCCTGGCTTATGCTATATTTGCTTTATTTGGCTCACTAAAGGTTCGGTCAGCTGACATCATATCCCCAGATCCTTTACATGTTGCTTTCCTTCTATGAGATCTAATTGTGTCTTGTACCCTGTATTTTGTTCAAGTTCTTCATTTTTACCATACCTAAGTACAGTATCTGGAATTTAATTTTTGTTAAATGTTATTTTCCATTGCCCAACCAAAGACTATTGATATCACCTTGCAATTTCAATGTCTTTTGTAAAAGTAATTTTCATGTTGATCTCTGTATTGTCTACGAGGGATGGCACGCTGCATCGGGCTTAATGACTGTCATGTCAGCTGGGCACATCCAGTAACTAGGTGCACCGCTACCAGCGGGTGAACTATCTAACCACTGGGTGGATTATTTCAGGGTCTTGTTCTCAGTTATGTTTACTTTACTGTAGTCTATGTTTTGTCTCGCTATGACTTTCTGTGGCTTGAATAATCTTATATACTAAGTTTCCTGGACCATAATAAAGGAAGCTAGGTTTTAGCCTTCTTATCTTTGGTAAGCTTACAATGACTTGCAATTGCCTTGTTTCAATTGAATTATGTGGAGCTAATCCTAGGAACAGGGCACTTTCATAGAAGCCCTCCCTCCCAGAAAATGAAATAAGGTGAGAAACAATTGAAATAATAACAGAATTATTGCTGCACATCACCCTATTGTCAGGCAACCCAAATCAGACCAGGCCAGGCGAACCAAATCAGATCAAACCAGGCTAGGCGACCCAAATCAGATCAAACCAGGCTAGGCGACCCAAGTCAGACCAGGCCAGGTGACCCAAGTCAGACCAGGCCATGCCAGAAGACCCAAGTCAGACCAGGCCATGCCAGATGACCCAAGTCAGACCAGGCCATGCCAGATGACCCAAGTCAGACCAGGCCATGCCAGATGACCCAAGTCAGACTAGGCCTGGCCAGGCGACCCAAGTCAGGCCACCACGCCACTCGGCTAACAAAACTACCCAACTCTACCATGCCACTACAGCTGCACCACAGTAAGGAGGCTTCTACAAGGATTGTTGTGCTTTGTGGATATTTGTTAACACTATCCTTAGAAAAAGCAATTTTGAATTTTTTGTTTTTGCCCATGGCACACAATGGATAGTTTCTGCCTGAGCAGTTTAGAGGATTAAATTCACCTTTCATGCAATCTAAAAAGACAAATTTAATTATGTAATTTTTCATTTGGATTGTGCTGTTTTACATAGATTCAATACTGATGTCTCTTTATCTATTTCTTTACAATATTGTTTTTCTATTTTCCTCCTTACTGCAAGATTATGATGGTTTTATGTTATTTGATAATGTTAATACAGTACCCCCTACATTCATCAGAAGGCAACAGTCATTTACAAGAAGTCATTATTGAGGCCAAAATCCGCAAAGTTAATTGAAATGTTAAGAGCACCACCTGGCATATCAAGGTTATCATAAACAGCAGAGAGACAAGTGCAGTCTGAGTGAGAAACAACTGAAACCAAGTGCTAGAACAGCAATCTTCTAGCTATCTGAAGTTGAGATAGTGATTAGATTTGAAAAGATCTTATAAAATATATGATAATTTTGAAATTAAAGTGTTGCCAGACAATACATATCTGAATCCACAAGCTTTTAATGTGCAGACCAATATTTTACTTGCACATGCTAAGTATGGGTATCTTCTTATTTTGAGCTTATCTCGAGATGATTTAGTAGAGTACTGTATAGAGAGAAGCAAAAACTTACCGTAAAAGCCGTACACCTGCGTAATCTGCCGTGATTCATGGTTTCCTCTTAGTAGGGTTATCTTGTGTGGCCATTTTGCCTTAAGGGACAGGAGACGAGTGAGGGTTTCTAAACTATAGTAGCCTCGATCCACGAAATCACCCATAAAGATGTAATTCGTATCAGGAACTTGGCCACCTGTTCGAAATAATTCTTCTAGGTCGTAGAACTAGAAAAGATAACAAAGATTAGAATGCACTATAGTTTAGCACCTGAATATACATAATTATATTTAAAATGTATTTGTCTACTGAGCGAGTATGAATAGCACTTACAGCTCACGCTAATACAAATAAAGCAGTGCGAGATCATGTTGTGAGATTATTGGCAAACTGCAATAGACTTACCTGTCCATGAATGTCGCCACATACAGTCACAGGACATGATACAGGCTGGATGTTTCCTTCTTCTAAAAGCAGCTCACATACGGTCTCACATAATTTCTGAAAGAATACGACTCTAGTAATGCTTTACTGAACATATCGGTATGTGCCATTACAAGGCAAATGTGATTATTGCCAGATATTAAGGTTGAGAAAAGAAAACATGTAGCAAATACTCCAATTGTATTTTATTATTACAAAATTATGATAAATTTTAAACCTGACTTATGTAAATACACACAGAAATCACAATAGCGTGATACACTAAATGAACAAATTAGAACTCTCATCATAGCCATTGTGAATTTGCTCATGACTTATGTAAACTTAAGCATCTATATTTACATCTTTTGTATAAAAAACGGAAATAACTAAAACCAACGTATAACAGCAATACCCTGGAGATCAATGTATGACAACACCACAATTTAAGAGCTTCAAAACTTATATATCATAAGGTTGGACCACGTTAACTTAGGTCAAATAGGCTTTAAAATCCTGTGGTGATTTGTCTTGTGTAGCAAGTGATGGCTATAGTCAAATCACACACATACATTCCGACAGTTCATTTCCCAATTGTTAAAACCATATATTGTTAAATTAGCCTGTGTTAACATAGATTACATTGGGTTACAGGTTTGGTTAGGTCGGATTAGGATAGTTAGGTAAAGTCAGGTAAGTTTTAAAACCCATTGTCAAACTATCTTGGGAACGAAGAGACTTGTGTCTTACAGGTTACTTTGTACCTTGGATGGTTTACAAACTAATTTTATATCCTACCTTACCTACCCCAAGCCAAACCCAACCTAACCTTAACATAACCCAGCCTAACCAATGATGTGGGGGTACTATCATATATAGGCATATCGACAAACTTTGATTTGTCAAAACTGTATAGAGAGTTACGGCTGCGAGAGATTCAGTAGGGTCCAGTAGGGCTACTTTAAGTTGGGGTTAGCTCAGGTTGGTTCAATTTAGGCAGATTTTAAAAATTAATTAACAAGCCATCATTTGTGGGATGTAACTTGCATCCAGCCATATATTATTATTTTGAACAATTAGTAAACGAAGCTTTGTAGGAATGGCAGTATAGGGCTGGAGGGAACGCCTCCCATAGCTGCCCTCAGGTCCGGCCTCAGCCCGCGGGTATGCCCTAGCTACCCTAGGAGTGACTAGAGCAAGGGCAGGACTACCTGACACCTCAGGGGAGCACCACCTGGCTCTCTGGGGGACCTGCATCACCAGCAGCCCCGAGGCCTAACATTGATGGTCTTAGTACGAACATGCAAGTCGATCCTCTAGCGTCGCCTCTGGCCACTTTCCCGCTCTCTTCCACCTTATTTTTCCACTACTCTTATCCTCCATTATTCTATTTCCTTACTATAAATGTACCTGGTACAAGGAACTAACCTTAAGGTCACTTTCTGGCAGATATTTGCACTCTTTTGCAATTTCTATCCACTTGTCAACGTCCGCCATTTTTGTTTATGGGCAGAGGCTGTACGAACCCATTTATATTATCTTCAAAAACAACAAAAAATATCAACACACTATTTTCTTAAATAATGAATATAAAATTACTGGAGGTTAACTTCTAGGTATAAAACCGTATTAGTAATACATTTAAATTACTACAAAATATTGTAAGCTCGTACATCACGTGTTCATTGAGCAGTCCCAAAGCGGCGTAAAGTAAAAATATTTAAAATTGTATATATTATTTATTTATTTATGTATTATTTATTTATTTATGTATTTATTTATTTATTTATTTATAGATTTATTTATTTATTTATGTATTTATTTATTTATATACAAGAAAGTACATTAGGTTGTAAGAGTACATAATATTGGTGTTTTAACATTCTTGCAGAGCCACTAATACTCACAGCGTTTCGGACACGTCCTTAATCTTAATTTACCTGAATTTACCTGAGGGCCACTTACACAACAAGTGGCCTCGACGAGGACAGGAAGCCGGCGGCTTGTCATAGGTCCCCCTCCATTTGCCTTGATCTTTTCCAGTTGGATTTTAAACTTAGCACAGTTTTGGCAGTTACGGCTCGGGCGGGTAGGCGGTTCCATGGGTTAATAACCTTGTGGGTGAAAGAGCATCTCTTGTTCTCAGTCCTACATTGTGGCGTGTTGAGCTTGCAACCGTTGCTCCTTGTTTGTGTTACATCTGACCTTCTGAAGAAATTGTCTGGATGGTCCGTCTAATTACCCAAAACTACCGAAAGCTAAGCTAACTACCCAAAGCTTCCTAACAAGCTACCCAAAGCTTCCTAACATTGCGTTAATAATAAATAAATATGATATATTTGTTCATTATAATGTTGTGCTGAATGTAGAACATGGGAAAACATATTTTTACTTTGAAAAAGTATCATTTTATAACGGAATTAGACGAAAATAAGCTGCTGGTGACGCCAAAGCAAGTCGACGCGGTCCGTCTAATTACCACAAGCTACACAAGCTTCACAAACCTTCCTGGCAATACGTTAGAAAATGAATAAATATGCTATATTTACTCATTATAAAGTTGCTGCTGAATGTACAACACGAAAAAACATAATTTTAATCTGAAAAAGTATCTTTTTATAAAGAAATTAGACGAAAATAAAGAGCTGGTGACGCCAAATCAAGTCGACGATCCAAGCGTCGGTTAGGTTAGGTTAGGTCAGAATAACCTAACATATCATATTTATTCATTATTAACGTATTGCCAGGAAGCTTTATGAAGCTTGTGTAGCTTGTGGTAGCTTGTGGTAATTAGATGGATCCAGTCGACGGACCAAGCGACACTTGGAGCGACTTATTTCAAGACTAAGACAAGACTTATTTTAGCAGTCTCCGTGGTGTAGTGGTAAGACACTCGCCTGGCGTTCCGCGAGCGCTATGTCATGGGTTCGTATCCTGGCCGGGGAGGATTTACTGGGCGCAATTCCTTAACTGTAGCCTCTGTTTAACGCAACAGTAAAATGTGTACTTGGATGAAAAAACGATTCTTCGCGGCAGGGGATCGTATTCCAGGGACCATAGGATTAAGGACTTGCCCGAAACGCTACGCGTACTAGTGGCTGTACAAGAATGTAACAACTCTTGTATATATCTCAAAAAAAAAAAAAAAAAAGACACATTGTTGCCTGGAGAGTGTTTGCTGTCATATCAGCCTCCTGTACCTACCTAACCTAACCAACCTACCCAAACATAATCCAACAAAACCTAACTTAACCTAACCAAATATAATCTGTAGGCCACAATATAAGTCGAGATAAGTCGCTCCACGACATTGTAACTTGGGCCGTCGACTTCCTATGGCCTCTCATCCCACTTAGTTTCGTCTAATTTTGTTGTAAACTTATATTATTTCAGAGTAAAAATATATTTTTTCATATTTTACCTTCAGCACCAACGTTATAGTGAGTAAATATATCATATTTCTTCATTACCGTATAATACTAGGAAACTTTGGGTAGCTTTGGGTTTCCCCGAAATGCTGTGCGTACTAGTGGCTTTATTTATTGTACTCACCTAGTTGTGCTTGCGGGGGTTGAGCTCTGGCTCTTTGGTCCCACCTCTCAACTGTCAATCAACTGGTGTACAGGTTCCTGAGCCTATTGGGCTCTATCATATCTATACTTGAAACTGTGTATGGAGTCAGCCTCCACCACATCACTGCCTAATGCATTCCATTTGTCAACTACTCTGACACTAAAAAAATTCTTTCTAATATCTCTGTGGTTCATTTGGGCACTCAGTTTCCACCTGTGTCCCCTAGTGGAAACTAAGTGCCCAAATGAGCCACAGAGATATTAGAAAGCATTTTTCTAGTGTCAGAGTAGTTGACACTAAAAAAATTCTGCATTATATGTACTAACTCTATCTATAAATCAATCAGAATGTTTGTAACTCTGCATCTATGTATGTACTTTTCCTAAATAAAATATTAATATTATTATTATATTATTATTATAATTAGATGGACCGATCTGGATCAATTGTCCTTCAAATTGTTTAGTATTTTAAAAGTTTCAGTGAGATCCGCCTTGTTAGTTTAGTTCATTTATTATGCACCCCATACCCATCTTGTGGGCGGTAGTGGAAAGGGTTACAGAGGCACATACTGGGCTCAGGGGCTGAACCCCACAATTCATTTAGCTAAGCAAGTTACAATCTTGATGAGCTAGTTACAAAATTCAATACACATCGTCACATCATCAATGGGCTCGAGACCAACCACAAGTACAGTTTCTAAATTAAGCAACTGACATATGTGGAGAGCTAGTGTCACAATTGATATGTTTGTCCTGCACACCGCCCCCCATCCAGTGGGCAGCGGTGGATAGGTTACAATTACTTAGCGAACTGGGGGATAGTTGGCAAACATTTCTAAGCAAGTTACAATATTGATGAGCTAGTTAGGATTGTTAGCCCTGTGGCCTTCAACCGTTCCTGATGAGATGACTTAGTGCTGGAATAATTTTTGTTGCCCGGTGGACACTTGAACCACTACCTTCCTTTCCTTAAAGTAAAAGGTATGCTTGATTATTCCAAGCATTTGGTTAACTTTTCTGACTGTTGCACCTATCTTTTGTGCAACTTTTAGTGAGTGGAGGATTTTGACTCCAAGGTAATTTTCTTTGTCAATCCTCTGTAATGTAATATTATTAATTTGGTAGTTGTGGTGTGGGTTGTTATGCCTCACATGCAAGGTCTTGCAATTGTCAGTATTAAAAAGCATTTGCCAGTCTTCTGACTGTTTGATGATGTGGTACATGAGCAGTAATTGCGTATATCATTGTTAGTATTTCACTAATGTTCCCTTGATCCCTGATCTACAGTCTCCGTGGTGTAGTGGTAAGACACTCGCCTGGCGTTCCGCGAGCGCTATGTCATGGGTTCGTATCCTGGCCGGGGAGGATTTACTGGGCGCAATTCCTTAACTGTAGCCTCTGTTTAACGCAACAGTAAAATGTGTACTTGGATGAAAAAACGATTCTTCGCGGCAGGGGATCGTATTCCAGGGACCATAGGATTAAGGACTTGCCCGAAACGCTACGCGTACTAGTGGCTGTACAAGAATGTAACAACTCTTGTATATATCTCAAAAAAAAAAAAAAAAAAAAAAAAAAAAAATAAGTGAGGGGATTGTGGACATTCCTGTGCCTCATAGGCATGTCCACAACTGGTGGACATGCCTGTGACACAGCATTTGACTGGTAATAGTAGTAGTGTGTTAAGGGGCCAAGAGAGTCAAAAATGAAAATGGTTCAATTTCAATCAATATTTTTTGACGAGTTGTATATGAAAAGGGTTTCATCTGGTCCAAATCTCAGCCTCGTAGCACTAATAGGAAGGGAGAATAAAATATTGAATTATGTGTCAAAAATTTTCCAAAATGGTCAAAAACGATTATTAAATTATGTATTTATATATTATATTAAATATTATTATTAAGTAAATAGTATTATATATATTATATTAAAAATATTAAAAAAATACAATTAGTTTTATTAAAAAAAAATACAAAAAAATAAAATTAGATTTTTTTCAATTTTATTTTTCATATTTGTTTATCGGACGATTTGCACGAAACTTTTACACCTGACTGTATGTAAGACTATCTGTAAGGGTGCCAATTTTGGAGGAAATTGGTTTATGTCAACCTCAGCCACAGATGGCAGCACCTTAGACTTTAATATTTAATGATTTATTTTTCAAGTAACAAACGAGTTGGTACTCTTTCATTTTTATTCAATTTACATGAAACTTACACCTTATATGTAATGTTTGTCTCTTAAAAAGTGTAGGAAGCATTTTTTCCTAAGTTCATTTATTGATTTTATAAATAGCAATAAACATGATATATTTGCATAAGTTTTTGGGGGAACTTTGACTATTTGTATTAGGACAACGAAAGATGTTTTGGAAAATCCCTTCCTACAGATCCTTTATTATATGCTAATGTGTCAGAAAAGTGTCATAGAATGATTATATCTGAAAAGGTGAAAGGTCTCAACTAATTTGAAAATGTGTAATATTCTTTAAAAAAAAAAGAAAAAAAGAAAAAAAACAATCTCCCTTTGTTTAGGCTGCAGTACTGAAACTTGGAACAATTGCAGCCCTTTTCATATACAACTAGTCAAAAAATATTGGTTGACATTGAACAACTTTTTTAGGAGCTATCCTTTTGTCCCCTTAAGATAGTTGCTGGTGAGATATGTAGTAACGTGTCTGGGTCTCTGGGATATTCTGCCAAGGTTAACATCAATTGATGAAAAACTATTAAATTCAGTTGCACTTTCTAAGTCTGTTGCAAGTGTGTAACCATTCTTGGAGAGTTTAATCTTTTTGTTACGTGATTGTTGTCTAGAGATGGTTTTCCATGTGATTTAAATGTTTCCTTTTACTTCTTTAAATCTGTTTTCAAATAGGATAGTTTAGCTCTTTTTATACTGTGAGCATTAATGAGTATCTTTTAAATAGTTAATTTGTAACTAGGCCAATCCTATGTTCTTTCGTATTTGTGTTTCTTGTTAATTGCTTTAAGTATGCCACTTGTGAATCAGTGGTTGTTTGCTTGGTGAGGAGAGGATGGTGTGAGTGCTGTAGAGGCATAGTTTTGATGAGAAGAGGTCAGTTAATGAATTTATGTCCTATGTATTATTGATTTCAGATTCTCAGTTTATATTTCAAAGCATATTTATGAGGTTTGCCTACTTGTGCTTTTCTGAAGGCAAAAAAGCAGTATGAAGGTTATTTTCTTGATATCTGATGGTGTTAGTTTAATTCATTTATTATGCACCCCATACTCATCCTGTGGGCAGTAGTGGAAAGAGTTACAGAGGCACACAATGGGCTCATGGACTGAATCCTAAAATTCCATTTGCTAAGCAAGTTACAGTTAAGATGAACTAATTACAAAATTTAATGCACATCAACAATGGGCTGTCTCTGCTGTAATGATGACAGTCTCATTACAATAGGACTATACAATGGAACCTCAAGGCAAAGGTACTGTATTTTAATCTGTTTACATAGTCAAGCAGGGAGCCATCATACAATTGCATCTTTGCAAACAGCTCCTCCCTGCCTGGGTGGATGCCAATTTAGTATGTTTGGCTTCTCTGCTGAGATGACCAAACTTGTATCCTGACACGAGTCTAATAAAGAGTTAAAAGTGTTTTCTGTGTGTTAGCATACCCAGTGGTGTGTATCATTATATCATCAGCATAACTAATGATGTGCACATTGAGTTTTCTCAACACAGAGTTCAACAGCATGTTTATTAAGATATTAAATAAGGTAAAGCTTAGGGGAAGCCTAGTTCAAAGTCTCTTGTTACAATCCTATGCCCCTGGAATAATACAGATTACTTTCTGTTGATAAGTAACCTCTGATCCAACAAAGTAGTCGACTAGATTAGTTAGTTATTATGCACCCCATACCCATCCTGAAGGCAGTAGTGGAAATGGTTACAGAGGCACATAATGGGCTCAGGGACTGAACCCTAACATTCATTTAGTTAAGCTAATTACAGTTTTGATGTGCTAATTACAAATTCAATGCACCTCGTCACATCAACAATGGGCTCAAGACCGACCACAAGTACAGTTTCTAAATTAAGCAACTAACACATGTGGAGAGCTAGTCACAATTGATATGTTTATCCTGCTAACTCCCCTCCCTTCCCATCTAGTGGGCAACGATGGATAAGTTACAATCACTTAGTTACTAATTACAGTTAGCAAAAAGGGAATATTTGGCTAAAATTTAGTACCAGATCTTTTTGAATGAAATATTTACACAAATCTTGAACATTTATAGAATTGTCTCTGAATTCATGTATCTTTTTGCATTCCATCACACAGTGACAGAGGGTGTGGGAATAATTTTTTTGATACACTTTACATTTGATCAAGTCTACATCAGCAGGTAATGAAAATTTCCAGGAATACTTATAGCCCTAAGCCAAGCATTAGTAACATCTAGGAGTCTGCTTATTTTATTGTATGATCCATAGATGTGTGGCTCTTCTTGCATGAAATTATGATCACCACCAATATTCATTCTTACAAGGTCACTCAAATTAACATGTGGGTTTGCAATATCAAAAGCAGACAAGATCTAGGAAGGTGATATATGACTTGTCAGCGTGAATGGTAAGAAATGAGGTGTTGCAATGATGCACACTCCTTCCATGCATGTAGTTATATATCTGGGGGGATAGCATGGTTTTTATTAAATGAAGGAGATGATTTAGGACCATTCTCTCCAATGTTTTACAAAGGCAGCTTGTAAGGGAAATTGGTCGGAAAGCATTCTCTTGATTGGTTATACTATTGGTTCAAGAGATAGGAAATTTCCCAATAATATTGCCATATTATACACTTCAAGAAGGGGATTTTCTGGTCCTAAAGAAAACAAATAAATAAATAAATAAATATATATATATGGATATGTATTTTTGTATTATATATTTTAAGTTGTGTACAACACTGCATCACTTAAATTTCTGTCATCATAAATGGTAAGCAATATGCAATACTGTACCATATTCTAGTTTCATATCTCATCTATCACATATGTCTCATAACAACAGTAAAAATCTTACAATTGTATAAAATGGACGGATGAAACAGATTTGACGAAATGTTAACCTTTTCGCCACAGCAAAACATTACATTAAAACAACGTTCATTTTGCTAAAATAACAGATCCTTATAAACTTTCAAAAATATGACATTTTATAATATTAACCATAATAATGTGCTTGTATAATAAGCTCACAGAGCTGTGTAGCCTTTAAAATGTTGGTTGAAATCTTGGCAGTCAATATACTGTAATTTGTAGAGTACATACCATAAATTCACAGATTAAACAAAATATAACAAAACTTTATTAATTTATTACAAGTACACTATATAAATAATGAACTAAAACATTTTATTGGTAATTAAATTAGATGTGAATTCCATCAATCATCCTCACTAGATGTGCTTTCATTGATTTCCTCATAATCCTCAATTTGCAGTTTTTCTATGGATTTATTCATGTCCCGCTGAAAAAAAAGAAATTTAATAAATACTGTAAAGTATTGTCAAATCATTGTAAATATTACCTTTAAAAATATACATTTACACCATGTATATGATTCACCTTATGGTTTCCCTATAGCCGGGGATGGGAAGCTTAAGTCATTTTTTGATGACTTATCAAACTCCCTTGGCCTTTTCCAGGATGCAACCCACAAGTTACAGTGGAACTGCAATTCAACAAACCTTGATTTGGCGAATCTCCGGTTAGAACGCACTTTCCAGGCCGGATTTACTCACCCGATTCCACACACTCTTGTTCACTGAAGCGAGGAGATGTGCGGATTTGCTTAGGACATTGGAACAATTCACAGTCTGGTGGAAAATTTGGCCATCATATCATAGATCAAAAGTTAAAGATTTCCTTAATGAAATCAGCCCACAGAGCGTGGGAAATATTAGAGTATGAATGATAACTCTTAATACGGCTCCAATCATGTTTGATGATTTTTGTAGATGGGTGCAATATTAGAAGAAAGAATTGGGGCCTTGGAAAAGTTATTGAGTACATTTAAAGCCAAATTCTATGGTTAATTTTCATTTTGAGATTTCTCAGTTTTTATTCACAAATATGGGCCTGTTTCTCTCTGAAAAGGTGGTTTTGAGGCAAAGGCATGGGAAATACGCTAGATGTGGTTAAATCTCTTTTTACAGATAGATTCTCTTGGTAGCTGCCCTTCATATGACAGGTGGAAATTAAAATTTTGCTCACAAAAATCAGCCCATTCAGTGTGGGAAACATTAGGGTATGAATGGTAACTTAATATGGCTCCAATCATGTTTTTGATGACTTTCGTAGATGGGCGCAACACTACCTTACATTACCTTGCAGTGATTCTAGAGATCAAGGTCACCGCAGCCCAGTCTGTGACCACGCCTCCTGGTTGATGGACTGGTCAACCAGAATGTTGGGCGCGGCTGCTCGCAGCCTGAAGTATGAATCACAGCCAAGTTGATCAGATATTCTTTGGAGGTGTTTATCAAGTTCTTTCTTGAACACTGTGAGGGGTCGATCAGTTATGTCCCTTCCGTGTAATGGAAGTGTGTTGAACATTCTCGGGCTTCTGATGTTGATAGTTCTCTCCCTCAGAGTACCTATTGCACCTCTGCTTTTCAATGGGGTATTCTGCACATCCTGTCACGCCTACTGGTCTCGTGTGATGTTATTTCTGTGTGCAGATTTGGGACCAGCCATTTAATATCTTTCATGTGTAAATTATTATATATCTTTCCCGCTTGCACTCTAAGAGAATACAGATTTAGGCTTTTGAGTCGATCCCAGTAATTTAGATGGTGTATTGATTGAATTCCAGCAGTGAAGAATCTTCACATACTCTCCAGGTCAGCAATTTCTCCAGTTTTGAAAGGGGCTGTTATTGTGCAAGAGTATTCCACTCTAGAGAGCACTAGCATCTTGAAAATAATCATCATTGGTATGGCATCTCTGGTTTGAAAGTTTTTTTGGGGGGTTTTCCAGTGTCTACAGAGTGCTCAATGCAGGTATGCCAACCCTGGAAGCACAAACCGTAACTGTCTCTATTTTCCGTTTGTTACAACTTGGTTGTAATAAAGTTGTTACATCTTGGCTTAACGTGTCTATGACATATTAGAATGTTACAACTTGCTATATTGGTTGTTATAACTGGTTAGGTGTTAAACCTTGTTTGAACGTTCTATCAATGTCGTAGTTTCGGAGTGTGTTTGGCGGGAATACACTGGGAATGCTATATCAGTAACCCCTATACAGTTGTATAGGCCCCCCAAGAAATCAGACACCAGCAGAAAGTGCAGGAGATACCAAAAAGAGAATGATCTTCACCCAGACTCTAGGTAAAATGTACTAGAGGCAGGAACAGCATGAATAAATCCCTGATGTGGAATGCGGCACAAATGAAACTAAAACCACCAAAAAGACTGAAGAATGTCTGAAACTGATTTTTTGATTTTTCAGAGTAATTTCAGTGTATGATTTCTCAAGCAATTTGACTACTTTAAAAATAAAATAAAATTATCAGTAATTCATTACCTTTCTATGTGATTCCTTTTTCTTCCCTTTTACGCTGTTGATGACAGGAGAAAGTGACGAGCCCTGTCCTGCTCCAACAACTTCAGCTCTAGCAGCAGCATTGCCTTTTAAAGCATTACGAAATTCCTACCACAAAGGTAATGATGTTAGATAGAAAGCTTTATATTTAAAAAAAAATTCAAGCTACAAATGTAATGAAACACCCTTTTCTGGTGGGTCCCCCGGTAGCTGCTAACCAGGCCTTAGACAGTTGTTCTAGGCTTCCGAGATCCACTCTTACCTACCAGGAGCCTGGACCAGTCTGGCACTCTCTACATGGCAATGACAGCTTGGGTGATCAGAAATCAATAACATTGAGAAATAAATCACCAGAAAGCAAATGTAAAATATCAGGGGCAATGATGTGTTTGAGCACCAACAGGTGGCAGCCCAGGTCACCTGAAGCTCCATCCCCCCTCACTCATGAACTTCCCTAAGTGAAATCCTCCAACCCAAAGAAAATAAGGGAATAGGGTGGGAACTGGAAGCTAGTGAAAGCCATAACAGAACAAAGCGTTTAATTACATTCAATTCAATATTTGGGAGCACACCCTCATTATCTTTCTAAGTTCCCTTACAATGGTGCCTAATCAAAGGCAGCCAATATTTCTGTAAAGAAATTGATCAATAAACAAAAAAAAAATGTGGCCAGGACTTGCCTATCAGAAAACCAGCGTTACATGTAATTAAACACCAATTTTTTTGTGGATCCCAGAGGCTCTCTGAAGATATCATACACTGATCTGTGCCACACTACTACTAGTTGCCATCAGTTGTGGAGTTCTATTGGCCTACTGGGGACTACAAGCCATAACCTGGCCTCCTCAGAGAGGTGCAAGGAGTGATGGCCTATGAACACTTTACATTTAACGTTAATCATATTTCCCACCACCAGGGAAGCACCCAGAAAGTTTGGCGAACCAACAGACGATTGCACGAGACTGCAGTTCCAAAATTGCCAAAAAGAACTCTCCCAACTATAAAAAACAAATCACAAAATGTTTGTGAAACTAGTGCACACTAGTTTGCTCCTACCTCCCTCCTCATTTGGGGGGAGGAGGGAGACATACTGAGTCAGCCGCCCCGCCCCACCTTCAGTTCTAAGATGATGAAACACACCAACACAATGGGGAAGGGAGGGTGTTAGGGAGCCTCAGGACTCGCCCAGATATTGACATTTTATTACATTCAACGCATGGTTTAGGCTGGACCTATGAGCTAATCAGGCTTCCTGTCTTGCACTTAAATCAAGAAAAACAGCTTAATGATCCTTCTGGTGGTCATTCTGGGATGGACTGAGTAATCACCAGTGTCCCTCTTTCCCCTTTATCACATGTTTTGAGTAATAGCAAAGTCTCCCATCATGGAGTGTAGGAAATGTTGATGGTTGCCTGGCAGTATCAAGTACTGTCTATGAGTTGACTGGTGTTTTGCTTCAAGAAGAATAAAGTGGTCTTGATCAGAAAACATATAATAAAGTGTGTACTTATGAAAAATAACATTTGCATCACCATAAAATTCAAATGAGTGCAACACCATCAAACATGCATCAGGTATGAAACAGTGAATTAACTTCAACAAACGTGACCTACTAAGCTACCAGCAATAAGCATGGAAGAATATGCCACCAAAAGCAAAATTATAAAATACAGAATCTACAAGACCTATACTAAATGATTAAAAAGGAAAAGAGCAATCTGATTTACCGCATCAAAGACATCTCGTGCGTTACGGAATGCCTGTGGTTAGAAATTAAAATTTAGTAAATTTGCTTGTCTGAAAGAAAATATTTTATTATTTAATAATAATTAAATAAATTTTACAGATTATATTTGCTTACCAATTACTTTTCTGTGTTATATACTGTATAGATAATTTCTATGTACTGTATAGGTGTTTGGTTATACAATGATAAAAGAAGCATGAAATAAAGTTTGTATATTCCAAAATTTTGGTGTTGAATATAACGAAACACTTCTTTGTGATGTGCCACTCAATAGCTCCCTGAAGCTACAACCTGGTAATGACTAAGCCTTGGGGAACAAATCAGGCCTTTAAAGAACTACGAGCACCAAATCTGTCCCTCCCCCACTCACTCAAGGAGGTAAAGGGCAGCTCTGGAATCAGATCACAACAGAAATGAACAAAAACCTACTAGAGCCAAAACACTTCAAAACAAGGAGTGACATTCAATAAAAATAATTATTAAATATTATTATTGAATATCTAGCCATTAGACCCATTTTCACCTGCTGGTAGAGGAACCTGGGCATCGCAAGTTTGACTTTGTCCACTCGTGTTTCTGAGGACATCCTCACAATCCATCCAAAATTTACCAATGCAGGCTACTGATCACATGCCCCTATAAAACTAGTCATCCTGAGAGATTGAGATTTTAATATCATATAGCTAGCTCTTGACACAAACTATGTAACCCTTCACATAGTCTAGGGTAGCTGCATAAATGTGCTTGTACCCAAGTCAAATAATGACAATAAGGGAAGCTACTGAGAGACCCAATAGAAAAAAGAATTTTATCATATTCAACACTTCCCATTCCCTATTCCCCACCCTACTGTGTCATGACTTACTTCAAGATCCTCCTCCTCTTCAATATTGGAAATCTGATTATATGCCTTGGTATATAGTTCCAGTGCCTTTGCATGGAAGGCCAGTTCAGTCTGTTGATTAAAATACGTGATTTTAGTCGAACATCACTGGAGCAACACCTGTATCTTGACCAGACCACACACTAGAAGTTGAAGGGACGACGACGTTTCGACTTGAGAATGGTCCAGGACGGACCGAAACGTCGTCGTCCCTTCAACTTCTAGTGTGTGGTCTGGTCAACATACTTCAGCCACGTTATTGTGACTCATCGCCTGCAACACCTGTATCAGTATTGTACAATATTCTCCACATCAGAAACTGTTTACAGCTTTAAAATATACCACTCAATTCTTGAATAAACAGCAGGAAATTGTACATAATTAAAAGTACCAAACATTCAAAACTGAACTTTACTGTTGACCCTTAATCCCAGCTTCCTCACATACTCACCATGTCTACCAAGCTTGAATTAATTTTGCCTTCATCATCTTCTATCCTCAAAATTAATCAAATACTCTCTCTCAATCATTGTATCAAGATGTGTTTAATAGATGAATGGTCAAAAGGTTACTTAGATGTACAAATCTTTAATAGACAATAGTAGAAATAAACTGCTGTTAAAATTAATACAAATCTGAAAATTAGATTTGAATTCAAATTTAAAAATAATGTTCTCTCTTACCTGAACAAATTCTCTGAGCACCTTCTTTAAGTCGGCTACTTTTTTTTGTTCAAACTGGTCCATTTGTTCTTCAAGGTTTTGACAAGCCCGTTTTGCTTCTGCAGTAGCCTTCTGATGTTTTGTCTCGGCAATTACCTGAATAGACATATGAAAAGTAAAGCACAAGATCAAGACAAAGGTCAAGACATTTCTAAGCTATGTCCTGTCAATTATTCCTGAAGTAAGAGTCGTGGTCCACTCAGGACATGGTACTCACACTAGGCTCTGCTTGACCTTACTCATGGCAGGAAACATTTTAAGAGGGTTTCGTCATATGGTTGAGGGGTCAGAGAGAGAGTGCAAAACCAATCTCAGTCTACCTTGTGTTACCATTCATTATTATACATAAAAACAAATGAATATACTAAAAAACACCCCCCCTACAAGCAATCATTAGAATAGTGAGGAAAACCAACTATCAATCTCTTAGCTACTGGGTAATAACTAGCTCCTACACAGATTGCCACTAGATGGCAGCTTAGCTCATAACAACATGGTTGAGGAAGCTGGTTGTCTTCATTTATTGCCTAGTGGTCTTTCCTTATGCACCTTAGCTCTGCATAGGCAAATTCAGATAAGACATTTGTCTCTGTGCTAGAGGTTATCTTGAGATGATTTCGGGGTTTTTTAGTGTCCCCGCGGCCCGGTCCTCGACCAGGCCTCCACCCCCCAGGAAGCAGCCCGTGACAGCTGACTAACACCCAGGTACCTATTTTACTGCTAGGTAACAGGGGCATAGGGTGAAAAACTCTACCCATTGTTTCTCGCTGGCGCCCGGGATCGACCCCGGGACCACAGGATCACAAGTCCAGCGTGCTGTCCACTCGGCCGACCGGCTCCCTCCATTTTTCCATACCATGGTGAGGTATCAGGTTCCATTTTTTTTTTTTTTTTTTTTTTTTTACTTCATGGCATGGATAGCCAATTCTGTGTGTCTCTGGCTATTGTTATCTGCTTCAATTTAGTTTAAGGGTTGTCTCTGCAGGCACTCATTGTCTAAAACTAAGGTGGGAGTTTGGGGTTCACTCCTTGGCATTTACCTGTTGTTTTCCTCTTTGGGTGGTTTTATACATATTTCATTGAAAGCTGGCTCTTGGCTAGTTCATTTATCTTCTGCCTGGCCTTCTCTTCTCCTGTTTAGTTCGTCAAATTTGAGTTTAGACATGTCTGTCAGGTCAGTGTGGCCTTGTTGGGTTCGGCTAATCTTTGCTTTGGTAGTCATGTTGGATCTCGCCAATCTCTGCTTTTGTGGCAAGCTGGTCTGACCAATCTCTATTTTGTTGGCTATGTGGTTGGCCTTGCCCTTGGCTTAGGGTTTATGCTTCATTGCACACTCTCCTTTCTGAGCCTCTGGTCATAGGGCCCCCTTCATCAACTGTGTCCATTGGTGGAGGGAGCTCTGGGAGGGCTCCTTGGGATTTCCTAGCATTCAACATCCCAATGTCACCCTTCTAGCTGAATGCCGGTGGCTCTGGCTTCTGTCGTCCCTTGCCTTGTTCTGTCATTCGCAGGGCATTACTTTGCCCTGGAGCGCACAGAAGGCCATAGTCTTTTACTTTCTGGTGTTTATGCCTTTGTGTGGCACTTTTCTTTTTATGTGCACAGGTTCTGCTCGCCTGCCCAACTTTGCACCTTTCACGGGAATCCTGTGTCAGGCTTTATGTTCCTTGGCTGCTATGGGGTCTGGGTTTTCTGGTTGTACTTTTTGTTTGGCAATTTCTGGTGTCCATGATCTACTGTACCTTGAAAGTTTTCTGTCCTATCCTGGGCCTGTTATTGGCAGGGTTGTGTGTTTTGAGCATGCCTGGGTTCTGTCTTTTAACCAGGCATTTTTGGAAAGCCACAAGGGTCTTCCCAAAATCACCAGCATTGAATGTCATGAAACACCTCATTGTTTCAAAATAATTCAATTACTTATTTTATTCGTTATTATTAAATGGTGATGTAGCCTTGATCCACACAGCTCTGCTGTGAGCTCCAGCGGCATGCACTAGCCTCGGATGCTCTGGCAGTACTAAGGCTCTCACTGCCAGAGGGATGCAGACAATTTTTTTCAAGATGCTGTCTGTTTACTGGAGTCCTGAGGAACAGGATGTGAGCCCCATGTACCCGTGGGAGTTTTGAATCTTACGATATACTAACAAACATCATATGTTGGGCGGTACACCCACCACCTTTTTCTTCATGATATCATGGTTAGTGCAATACAGTGGTTAAACAAGTGCTAGCAGCTCAGTATTTAGTCAACCCCTCCTTGCCAACATCAAGCCCGAGTTGTGTTGATTTCCTGTGTATAGTGTTTGCTACTTCTTCGCTCTTGTCACGGTAACAGCAGGCCAATTCTTTCTTTGTGAGGTATCGACTTCTACTTTCTCTGTGGTGAGGTATCGGCTTCTACTTTCTCCATGGTGAGGTATCGGCTTCTACTTTCTCCATGGTGAGGTATCGGCTTCTACTTTCTCTGTGGTGAGGTATCAACTTTTACTTTCTCCATGGTGAGGTATCGGCTTCTACTTTCTCCCATGGTGAGTTAGCTCGGGAAGCTACTGAGGGGACCCTCTCAGAAACCCAGTGTTGAATGTACTGAAATGTCTCTTTTCTAATGGGTCCTTTTGGTAGCTCCCTGTCCCTGCCCATACCATTTTTCTGCAATATTCATGGGTTGAACATTTAATCAGTGCTAGACTTTAGTGCATTGACATCCTAAAACTAGTGGTGACCAGCATTGCTGCCTGATGGATTGCACGAGTGGCAGACAGGTGGTTCAATCTGGGTTATGATTGTTTACATAGCTATAGACAGCATTGCCAATGTTTTCCATTCAGTTGTCTGTATTGGTACACATTATTTTTTTTTTTTTTAATCTTGGGTACTGTGGTTTATCCCAGGATACTTGTAAATCGATGGAATCAAGTGTGGTTCTTAATTATGTCAGCTAGCCAGGTGGGTAATGTAAGGAGGTACCCACCGGGCAAGCTAACATACTTTTTGTCTTTTCCTTGCCCTGTGCATGCAAATGTATCATTCTATAAACATATTATTTTGATTATTTTTTTTGTTTTTGCAAGATGGCAAATTTTGGTGATAGCCATGTGTTGAGGGTTTACCAGAATTTTAAAACATCTCTTAATTTCCTGCATACCCTATGTAATCATTGAATCATGTAACTTACTTTGATATTAGCTCATACGTACTATCATGTATCAGAAGGCTGATGCAGTGGGATAATACCTGATTTGCCCCCCAATTGAAATATTTTAAGTGTAGTCAATTTCAAGGCTATATTATTTCACTCTTTCCACAGGTATTGTACTTACAATCTGCTGTCTATTTTGAGGGCGGCGGTTCTTGGTTTTTTCCAGGTCTCGTCGATGATTGATTTCCTGCTGACGTGTGTCAAAGCTTCTCTTCAGTTCCTCCCGAGCAGCCTTGCATATGCCTCCATATAATGCAATCTCTCCTACAACTCTGGTCTCCAGTCTCTCTACTTGCACATTTCTGCCATTACAGAAATGAGCTTAGAAATAATTTTTTTTGTAAATATAGCATTTTTTAGAGACAAGATGCAGCAAAAGCTTCATTATTTGCTATTTGTGAGGCCTAAGTAGTGCTGGATACTAGAATATCCAAATTAGAAAAGCATTCAATACACTATTATGTTATATTAGGTTTATTCTAGTGTACCAATACATGCACCCCTTGAGGTATGTAAGGTTATATTTTGTACGGATAGCTAAGTCATTTAAGATAGGTAGAAAGAGGCATTTCATTACACTCAATGCTATATTTTACAAAACTAAGAACCTCATGTTAATATTAATATTTAATGCTCCCTCCATTTTCTACAAAAAAAATATATCACATAATGAAGTCCAGAATGCTTGGGATGAGCAATGATGCATAAATATAATCCGTCATGTTTGTAAAGCATAAGAAGGTAGGGTATATGAAAGCTCAACATACTGTAGAGAATGCTGTAAACAGAAGTATTAGCCCAGATTATCCCTGTGAAATTATATATTTTTGTATAAAGGTGTATCCCTGAGTCACTTTCAATTTGTGTAAGCTAATACTGTGAAGATAGTGAGCCACCAGTACTGTATATCAAAATGATGTAACCATTCACTAGGAATTCGTGAACAATCAAGTGCACTAAAATTATCAAAGGTCATAGTTAAATTACAAAATTTGATTGGGTGAGTACAATTTTATAGTTTTTTTTAATAGCGTGTGAGAGGAAATCTACATCATAACCGAAAATGTTTCGGTAACTGACAGGTTTCAGTCCTGACCCTGTCGGATATGATGTGCTCAACTGTATCTTCAAGCTCTTGTACCCAAGGTATTCAAATGCTATGTTGTTGTTGATACCTTCTGCCAAACACAGCCAACACAATGTCTTATGCATCAGTTGTGCACATGACATGAGGAATTACCTGTAGTCCTGAACAGCTGCTAATGTATCTGCTGTATCACAGAGGGCTGACCGCAAACTTTTGTTCAGGTTTTCCACTTCGCCATAATCCAAGAGTGTTTTAGAGAGTACATCTCCTCTATCTCGCAGCCTTATTTGGTATAGGGGACAAAGAGAATTACTGCAATTTGAATATCACTCACTTATCAGCTTTAAAAGTGATGAATGACATGTAACAATTATTCTATTTCAGTATGAAAATATACAATGTGCAAAACCAAGACTAAATTTTAATCACTCCATCACAAAAATAACAATACTGTATTACATTTTTATTATCAGACTTAAAATTTATACATATCTGTATTGCATCAGCAACTCAGTGATATTGTTCTCTTATAATGTAGAAATTTATCTGACTTTTAGAACACAGGTGTGACAAGGTAATAATCTACAAAAGTTGTGTAAAATATGCTCTATGTGTGACATAATATAAATAGTTATGTAATCAACATTAACAAAATTGAGCAGTAATGCAATTAATTAGCCATTTGAATTTGGGTTCAAAGCCATTACATTCTCTGCTCACTAAATAGATTTTGCCGTGTCCTTTGGACACAGACATGTAGTCAGGCAGGATGACATACTGCACTGTACAGAACAGCCAAACGTTGCTCAGTCAAAAAAGTCAAAACCCCTACATAAATCCCTTTGAGATCATAGAATATTGTCACCAGAGCATTTTGGTGAAAGAAGAAGGCTAATAATATTTAAAATAAAAAATAATCTGAGCCTCCCCATTTCCTTACTTACAGTACATGTACATTAATTTAAAATTGGGAATGCAGAGCAAATCTAAGTTATAAAGATATATCTCAAACACGAGGGGGAAACCAAGTGACCAACTAGATGAGTACAATTATTTTGGATTCATGGAACATAAACAAACCTGCAAGGTGAGTACATAACATTTAGTAAGAGATACAGAGAATGAGACATAATACAACATGGAAATAATTTCTCACTCACTAGATTAACTGACCTTTGTCAAATAACATTGAGAAAATGAGGTAAACACCTCAAAGGTAAGATGCACACCTCACTCAGACCTCCACCTCCTACTACCTCCAGCTCCCTTCTGTAGGTGCAGAGCAGTGATGCTCTCCACCCCCCCCCCCCCAAGTGATGCTCTCAATGATGCTCTCCCCCATGAAACGCAAATAAAACAAACTTATATTTTAACTAAAACATATCATTAAGATTAATAATACACAGTAAATCACACCAACATGATGAATTAATGAGAAAATCCATAGGAGCTGTGATGAGGATTCGAACCTTTGTGGTGAGTATTCCCATGTACACGCCCCAGACAACCAGGCCACGACATGGTCAAAAGGATTGGAGCCTGGAGATCAACTGAACACACGAGGGTTTCCCGAGGCTTCCACTGAAGCTGGACCAGTATTTCCACAATCCCCCATGCACTTTGGCTGTCATCTAAGAATGTTCTACCTCTGATGATCCTCTTTCAATACAGAAAGTAATCACACTAATGTGATGTATCAATGGGAAAATCCATATTAGCCGTAATGAGGATTAGAACCTATGCAAAAATCCAGCCACAATGTCAGGTTGATAAAATGATAATTCTGTGGGCCAAAGCCAATTACAAACATTTCTCAAGGTTCAATTTGTAAACCATTTGTTGCTGTCCACAGATGTGAATAGATGGGGTGTAATCACAATTTGTAATAATGATACTGTACTGTAATGACAGTGAAACCAGGCCCAAACTTCTAGGTTAACAGAATGGAATAGAGGTTTACAGATCTGAGCTTCCAACAGAGCAGGGAAATATGTACAAGCCCCAAAGGAGTAAAAAAAAAAAAAAATCAGCGTTGAATTTAATGAAACGCCATTTTCTGGGTGAGTCCCGGAGGCTCCCCGGAGCTTACTAGGTTGATATGCTAATGTCAGACTTTGGCATCAGTCATGTGTATGGAGGTCTATGGGCCTACCGGGGACCACGAGCCAGAACCTGGCCCCCTCAGAAGAGGCAAGGGGGAGCAATGGCCTATAGAAACTCCCGTGTGGTTGGAAGCATTCTATGTCTGCCATTGACCAGGTTAGGCACCCAGAAAGGTAAGCGTCCCAAAACAAACCCCTATTCTGGTGAAAATTGCTACCACAAGCCGAACAAGTGGATAGAACTCCCCAAAAATAAACGAGCAAACAATCATGACGTCACATGTTGCCGCGCCGCTGTATGCGAAGCTCCCCCCTCCCCGGGAGGGGGAAGGGAAAGCCCCAGACCTATTGCGCTCGCTATTCACCCCCAGTTCTGAGGGTGAATGTCAAAAAACGTGAAAAACCGCCGACCGGAGGGAGGGAGGGATGTTGGGGAGCCTCCGGAACTCACCCAGAAAATGGCATTTCATTACATTCAATGCTGGTTTTCTAGGGGGAGCCCCTTTGGCTCCCTGGAGCTAACTCCCCACAGAGGAAAAGAGAGGGACCTACCCGGGAGGTGGTCGCCACTCACTCCTCAATTCCGAGTCGAGACAACCGGCTGCAACTGCCGATCCAAAGCGACACAGGCCTGAATAGGCCCAAGAACGCGCACGAGAAAACGAGCAGCCAGGACCCTGCTCAACTGCCAAAAATCCCGCGCCCGAATGACAGCCCAGGACATGTTGCCAAAAACAGCAGCAAGAGCCGCAAACTTGCGAACATAGACACGGGGAGAGAGCGCAGGCCAGCTAGCCGTAATAATCCTGCAGGCGACCTGGGAGACCCGCACCCCGCAAACAAGGAAGGAGGGAAATCGGATCACTCCAAAGCGCGACACAGGACACAGAAACCGTGGCGCGCAATGAACGGTGGAGGGTCGCCACCAGACACCAAACATGATGCACCCCCGGCCAAACCAACCAAGCATCAACAACCCATGGACCCCTCTGGAAAGCAGCCGTCTCATTCTCCGCCAGAAAAGAAGGAGACTGCTGCAACGAACAACCCCATTGCCATGACCGAAGGAGCAGAAAACTCCTGCGCTGGAAGCTCACCAACCCGACCTCAAGAGGCCAAGGCCAACAGAAAAAGAGCCTTGCAGAAACAATCCGGAACCGAAGGGGCCACAACAAACCTAGGAGAAGATAAGAGCACTCTGTCCAATGATCAGGACCGCTCAGGTAGCGCATAAGCAGGCCAGAGGTGAAATAATTCCCGAGGCAGCATGCTAAACGAAGCAGAAGTAACCTCAATACCGAAAGCAAGCTGAAGCGGCTCCGCCAGCGCCGCACGATACGAGGCGAAAGTATGTGGCAAAATGACGGCCCCGAACCCCCAAGAGAGAAGGACAAGACCACGCCAACAAAACACAGTACTGAAGAAGGGACAGGAGGAAAAAGGAAGAGTACTCAGTACACAGGGGGCAAGAACCAAGGCAGACCCCCCCCCACTAGGCAGAAAACAAAAAGAAAAAGAAAACCCCGCAAGAAGACAGTGTACCCAGGTGGAACAGAGCCGACCGCTATGATAGGTGAAAACAAGCTGCACAGCACCCTGAGCCCCGCCAGTGCAAACTGCCCCCTACCCCAGGGCGAACAAGGGAGACAGAACACCTGAGCATACAAGGGGCGGCCGAAAACCAAGCAGTAAACAGCCTAGCAGGGGCAGAACCCAAGGAACTTGTGGAAGGGAACCCCAAGCCCCAAGGGCAGTACTTACAGGGCACCTAGGGAAGGAAACCCTAGGCGCATGCAGCCCGAGTACTGAAGAAACACTCCCAGCTCACGCACCACCTAGAAGACAGACACCACACTCTAGGTACAGTGCTGAAACAACCACCGGAGCCGGAGCACATGACCCCAGCCTTTAGCATCAGCCTTAGAACTGGGGGTGGATTCTCCCCAGCTGTCTGCGCAGCTTCCCCCGGAAGCTGCACGGACAGCGGCGCGGTGATGTGTGATGTCATGATTGTTTGCTTGTTTATTTTAGGGGAGTTCTATCCACTTGTTCGGCTTGTGGTAGCAATTTTCACCAGAATAGGGGTTTGTTTTGGGACGCTTACCTTTCTGGGTGCTTAACCAGGTCGATGGCAGACATAGAATGCTTCCATCCACATGGGGGTTTCTATAGGCCATTGCTCCCCTTACCTCTTCTGAGGGAGCCAGGTTCGGGCTTGTGGTCCCCGGTAGGCCCATAGAACTCCATTCACATGACTGATGCTAAAGTCTGACATTAGCATATCAACCTAGTATGCTCTGGAGAGCTGAAGGGGCTCCCCCCAGAAAAAGCCCTAAATGGAACAAAAATCCAAAATCTGAAGCCTAGAACTTTATATGACACTACAGAGAGAGCCTGAAAAGAACCCTGCAGCGTTGGTCTCATCCTGCTTAACTTTACACGTTCCTCACTGAAGGACAGCGGAATTTAATTCAGGGTACACAAAAAAAAGCTCAGCTTGGAAAAGTGTCTTTTTTTTATGAAACTTACTTGGCTGTTTTTCTGGTGTAAGAACCGAGAGCATTGCAGATCTGGCCAAAGTGTTTCTCCACACCTGATATTCTCTCTTGAATGAATCTGGCTTGATTTGAACTGTGTAAAACAAATTAATAAATTAAGCAATGCAATATTCTGAAAAACATCTGGGGAATTTTATATCCCCAAATGGCCCATTTGTAAATTTTGTTGGTGCCATCAGAGGCCTGGAGATCAGAAAAAATATTATCATTAGTGAATTTGGTTATCTTGATACCTGATAGAAAGTAAAGGTATTTAACAATCAATGTCTACGCTTGTATGAATGTGAACTATGGGACCTACAAAATGCTAACCTTAAGCTTAATTGTGAATGGAAAAAATATTTTAAACATATCTTGCATGTCCATTCCCTACAATTTTCTCATTGCATACATTATTATAATATGTACGACATGCTTTGCTACAGCAAACTTTAAAAAAAACTCGAAGTTTGCCGTAGCAAAGCACGTCGTACATACAGTACAGTATTATAATATATGCAGTGAGAAAATTCGCCCAAAAAATGTGTTATATTTACCATGTTTTTCTGGGTTCGAAAATATTATCAAGGCCTTTGAAACATTTTGATATACTGGATATACTATACATGTATTGTTTAATTACAAAAATACTGCTGGAAAACTATTAGTTAGAAACAGTCCTCATAGTGATAATTGTCTTATTTACAAAAAATACCTTCTAAAAACTGTAATAGGTTCTATGTAGGGCAAACACCCAAAGATTTAAAATTTAGAATTTCACAACAAATACTCTGTAAGACATGGTCAATTGTCTAATACTTTGTTCATTTGTCAGAAAGTTCTCACCAAACTGATTGGGAGAGGACTTCTTCAATAACGAATTGTAAAAGTATTTTCAATAGGAACATTATGGAATCTGCTTTAATACAGATTACAAAATCATGTAATTTGAATATTAGCAATGGTTTGTATAATTTAGATCCATTTTTGATTGATCAGCTAAAAGGCAATTTGAGTAGGATCATTGATACACATTTATCTCACTAATATCTTATTAATATCCCATTAAGGATATTTTACTTCACCTCACCACACCTCTTTCCTGCCTATATATCCACATGCACTGAACTGTAACTCCATCCTTCTGAAGATTTTGTAAACAATGTTGTTTGTTGACCAACTTGTATAATTGCTATTTTCTGCATGTTCCCCCCTTTTTATTTTTTATTTTTTTTCAACAATTTATACTTTAAGCTCAATTACTATTAAGTTTTAGTCTAAGTGTTATTCTCCCCACCTCACCTTGCCCGAAACGCTATGCATACTAGTGGCTTTAGGTATTGTATGTACTAACTCTATCTATAAATCCAACATTGTGTTTGTAACTAATCCTCTATGTATGTACTTTTACCTTAATAAACATTTGATTTAATTTGATGTATTATTAAATACGAAAGCACTTAAAATAATTCCTGTCTTAATCCTTCCTTCATGGTCTGACACTGTCACATTGTTCATCATGTGTTAATTGCTTCATGATTTGCACACACACACACACACACTATATACATGTATATAATTTTTACTTAAAGCATTAATAGATAACTAACAACAAATAAAATATTTATGAAAACTTACTGAACTTTGCTAAGACTGTTAGATGAAAACATGGTAACTTTCTGTTCAGGGTACCTAGAATGAAAAAAAATATTTGTATCACTGCTAGAATATTACATAATTATGAACAGTATTGGAGAACATAGTATTTTACCAATGTGAATGCAATTATAAATCTCTTGAAAATACTGGACTGTAAAGACCAGTCTACTACTGGTTCTGCATGATAGGATTAAATGCGCTCCATTTGCATTCAAGGTTAAGATTATGACCTATATTTCAACTTAGCACAATCATATCCCTCCTGTATGCTTTGCCAGTTTTTGTATGCTGTATTTCATTACAGTATTAAATTTAATTGAACAATGCACATCACAATCACATAAACAATTCTACCATGCAGCAAAAAGTCAGATGTAACACACACAACTGGCAAGAGCTTCAAATTCAACAAGCCTCAATGTTGGACAGAAATCAATAAATGTTTTTTTCACCCATGGGGTTATAACCTCATAGAACCCCCTAACAACCAAATTAATAAATGGCAAGAAATTACTGGGGTTCAAAATCCAGTTGGAAAAAATGATCAGGAAAAATGGGGGGGGGGGATCCAAGACAAGCTGCTGGCTTCATGCCCTCATTGAGACTAGTAGATAGATGGCGGCCTTCAGGTTTATGCCCCAAAACATCCGGTACATCATTTGGGAATAAAAATAAAAATACTATACTGTAATAAAAAACAATTTATTTTATTGATACATAGAAGAGTCGTTACATTCTTGTACAGCCACTAGCATGCATAGTGTTTCGGGCAGGGCCTTAAATCTAATTTCTGCCAGAAAATGATCCGCCAAATTGTTAAACAACCAGGTACCCATTGACTGTTGGGTAAACAGGGGGGGGGGGTACAGTTAAGGATTGACACCCAGTAAATGCTCCCCGGCCAGGATATGAATACAGGCCAAAGCACTCGTGAAACGCCAGGCGAGTGTCTTACCACTACGCCATGGAGACTGCAATTTGCAATGCTGCAATATTACTTAAAATTAATTCTTGCAGTATTCTAATTGAATTGTTCATCCTGTCACTTGAACCCTGACACAGATTGGACTTGCTTAATTGCCACAGATGAAAGGATCGTCAAACAACGTGCAAGACTGAACTAGTTGTGTTGGGGAAAGGCAGCCGGTGTGTTTTTATACACTTTAGGCTTATAGCAAGCTCCCCTCACCAGGATGCAACCCCACAAGAAGCTGACTAACACCTGGGTACCTACGTGCTGCTAGGTGAACAGATGCATTAGGAGATAGGAAATGCGCCCAGCCATTTCTGGCCCTCCCAGAATTTATTATTTTACACAATTTTGATGTGGAGATATACTGAATTATATATTGTGATAGGGAGTTAAATTGAATTATGCTGTATACTGTGGGGTGGAATTTCAACTCCAGGTATGTTTAGGCAATAATGGATGGGTTCATTACCTTTATCAGATTCACTGAATTTTCCATGTACCACAATCACCAATCAATTCTGCTCCTGGGCCACAAACCCGGGAAATGTCACCCTGAGATTCTTATGGGGATTATTATACACATATAAAAAATATTAGTGTGCGATGTTGTCAATGTACGGAGTGTCTTGTATCCTCCACACTTGTGGGGAGGCTTGTTGTTGTTTTAGGGCTAGGGGCAGCTACAGCACAGGCCGTATGCACTCCGGCAACGACCAATTACAATTTCTTTCTTTATTATGCACCCCATACCCATCCCGTGGGCGGTGGTATAAAGGATTACAAAGGCACATAGTCGGTTCAGGAACTGAACGACCAGTAACGATATTATCCATTCACTAGAAATTTGTAATTATGTTTATATCTTGTAAATAAAATGAATAGCACATCCTATATAAGGAATGTGGTATTCCTTGTATAAGGAATATTCTCCAACAATTAGAATAGCCTAGAAAAAGTCCTTTTGGTCAGTAAAATATAATAACTTTATTTTTTTTATTAACATACTTGGGTAAACACATCAATGTGCTGCTACCCTATTCTATATGAAAGATTACAAAGTGTAGATAAAAAACTAGCTATAAGTTCATCTAATACCCCCATCTCACAGGATGGTTAGTCATATATGGAATGGGGGGAACTTTGACAAGTCGCCGGCCTCCTGTCATCGTCGAGGGCACCAGCTAACAGTCCCTCAGGTAAATTCAGGTAATAATAATAATATTAATAATAACAGTAACAGTAATAGTAACAGTAATACCTAGCACCTCAAGACTGGGTGCTAATTGTAATTGGTAATTGGTATAATTGCCTAAAGTATCCTTGCACATCCCTATTGACACTAATCTGTTAATTGTCTCTAATTTACTCCTCAGAATTAGTTACTTGCTTTGTCTGCATCAGTTAGCACCCATCCATTCTATTATATCACTTTACATTTATTTATATGAACATTTATGGGCTATAATTAATTACTTATAATTTATATTAAATTATGAAATATAAATTGTACATTAAATTATGAATTTTAAATTAAAATATAAATTGTAAATTGAATTAAAATTTGTAAATTAAATTAAAAATTGTAAATTAAAATATAAATTGTAAATTAAATTATAAATTAAAATACAAATTATAAATTAAATTATAAATTATAACTTTATTCAGTATGGTATTCATGAATTATGTAAATTCAATCGATATAATTCAAATACAAGCGCATATGAGCAAATTTATAAAAATCCTTAATGTAAACATCTTCCATTATTTGTTGAGAAATTATATTATCATTAGCTTCCCTATATCAATAGCTTCTTGACGTAATTTTCCTTTAAAGGGAGGATTTTATGAGTGGGCGGAGGTACTTGTAATATGCTTTAGGCACGTCTGTCTTGTTCAGAGGACTCTTGAGAGCTGCATTATACAACCTGAAGAAGATAATTAAAATATTATTTACAATTAAAGGAAGGAATCAGCAAAGGTATTGAATTATATATTTCAAAATGCCATTTATATTTCTAATCGTGTTAATGCAGTCGTTGAATATATCCAAGTTAAAGTGAAGAAAATGTATTAATTGATAGGAAAAGATCAATTATGAGGTGAAGAAGATCATCAACCATATAAATGTCCAAAGTATGAACATTTCTGTTAGAATAACGGGAAAAATTATGTCCACATTGCTATGTCTAGTTAGAAATAAATAAAAATAAATAATTAATGTTTATTTAGGTAAGGTACATACATACAAGAAATTTTTACAAAGATTGGTTGACTTATAGGTAGAGCTAGTACATACAATGCCTAAATTTCACATTTTTATAAACATCAGTGCTAACCTTATCATAATCAGTGCTAATATTATTAGAGGCTATCTGGAGTGAGATTTATAACTACTTGTGCCTGCCTCCTAGCTTTATATATACCTTGCGTGTTTTTGTAAATATCTCGAAGTTAAAATTTGTTGGCATATCTGATTACGAACTGGTGGATGTAAGTGACTTTCACGGCAGCGACTTCAGGTTCAACATTGTTGTTGTTGCTAAAGATTCGCTACCTGAAACAAAGTTCCAAGTAGCACGGGCTATGGTGAGCTCGTGTTCAACATTGACAATGTGTTGGTGTCTGGGAACCACCAGCTAACGGATCGCAGTTATTGTCTTTTAGGTCACAACCATCGTCTGGTATTTATTTTTTTCTCAACGTCTCGCTCTCCGATGCCTGGTGCTATCATCACCTGGGATCACTGGGATGTTGATAGACTTTGTTTGGGGGTTCACGTTTTCTGGTTGGCTCTTCGAGTAGGGAGAGATGGTGTCCGGCGTCGGCTTGGTCTAGAGGTGCTGGGAGTATGTTGGTATTGGTGTACCAATAACTTTCACAACATGTTCTCTCAGTGCATCCCCCCTCTTCTTGACCACGTATATCTGTCTCTCAATTTCATATTTTCTGTTCGTATATGAGGTACTGTTCTGAAAGATGACTTTCACTGGTTGGTTTTGTTCATTCAAAATTTCTTCTGTTCAACACAAGTTTAACATTCCCTGGTCGCCTGATGGCCACACCTTGTTGAGGATTCCGATCACCTCTTTCTGGTCTACCTCTCTTCTCTTTGCCATGTGTAGTCTTTCTCTGGTTCTGTTAGATTGTCAGTGATAACTTACATGGTTTCCCATTGATGGGGACAGAAACCTTCCCAGGATACAATCCACAAGAGTTCCCTAACTTCTTACTTCAAGGTGAACAGAGGCATTAGGTGAAGGGAAACGTGCCCAAACGTATCTGTCATGTCACGGGAATCAAACTCTGAGCTTTTAGCTACAAATGCGAAGGTTTTGTTGGCCCTTTTCTCTATTGCTATTATATTCTCTACTTTCTAGACTGTCTTCTCCGTTGCCTTTGCAAATTTGACTTACCACACTATCATTTCATTTCAGCATTATTCTTAATTTTATTACTAGATAAAACTCCCTTAAATCATAGTTCCATTAGTTCTGTATATCTTAGTACATAGCTATGTTATTGTATTTTACACAAAAAGCCATATTAAATACTATAAGTATGCCATTCTGAAACATAATTTAGAATTAAGCTCATTCCGTTCAGGCCAGGTTGCATCAAAATAACCTTATTGTTTTGAGCAGTTTGCCCTGACATAGTGGTGTTTCGGTCCTACATCAATATGGATGAACCTAAATTCCGAAACTAGGCTTCGGTCATATGATAGCTGTAACTGGTTGTCGAAGCAACAGCCGTAAATGGTTGTCAAAGCAACATCTGTAACTGGTTGCTGAAGCAGCAGCTGTAACTGGTTGTCGAAGCAACAGTTGTAACTGGTTGCTGAAGCAACAGCTGTAACTGGCTGTCGAAGATAGCTATAACTGGATGACGTTTCAGTGACGAATGAAACACAACATCAACATAATTATTTCTGAAATTGCATATTCTGCTGCTCCTTAAAGGTTGATTCTTTGACTGAAAATGAAATGAATCTTTCTAAGCATAATTAGTTACCTTAAAGAGCAGGTATACACTGTTATATAATTTGAGACCATGTACCGTCAGGCTGGATGACATTCTAGTTAAGATGCCAAGGTAACTTTCCAAGTTGTCCTGCAGTATTGTTAGAATAGATATAGAATTAAGAAAGCAATTTTGATCTAAAGCCCTATTCTTCTGCTGTGAAGAATGACTTATCTAACCTAAAGTTTATGAGAAGAAGTGGAAGAAAAATAAAATGAGATAAAGGTTTCCAGAGAGCTGAGGGAGAGCAACCGAGCAGCTTGGATACTATGCGCGAGTAAACAAAAGTTCTTTCCCTAAGTGGAGCAACACGCATCTTCGTGTTTGCACGTGGCTGCTGCAGCTAGATGTTGTGAATTTGTTCTCGACTGTTGCAGTGATACAGTGCCTTTGTGTATCGAGGAAATGGCTGAGGCGGTCTGCCTAGGTGATGGAAGATCCTGTACTGGGCCTGGAGAGTGTGACAGTGGGGATGGCAGACAGGATGATACTAGGCCGTATCAAGCAGTAGTAAACAGATATAAACGGAGAAATATTCAAAGACAGCGAGACGAAGACAGTGAGGAGGAAATAACAAAGAGACCAAAAAATGAAGACATGCTCAGCAGGACGCGGGAGATGCAGACTAATGGAAGGAAGAGGCTGTTGTTCCCTACAGCATGTCAACTGAATTTCCATCAAAAGCTGGAGTGGACGGTTCGTTTGGCTAAGGAGTTTTTTGAATATGAACCACTATTCAAGGAGGGTCTTCACCGGCCCTATATAACAGTTGGGACAGAGGAGGCCGTGGAACACCTAACGAAGGATGGGTTTGAGAATATTGTGATGGTTACTCCGGAAAAAGGTATGATGTACACCAAGGTCATAGTGTTTAAGTATCCAACTTATTTGGATCCTGATTATCTATTGCTCAACAATGATAGTGTTGTTTGGGCAAAGAGGAACAGTGTTCGTGGTGAAAAACAAAGCCAGGTTGTTGCCTTGGTAAAGGGTGAGGCTCCAGAAAGAATTTTTGTGCAAGGACTAGGCTACAGGAAAGTTGTAAAATACATTGAGGAGCCCATATTATGCATGAAGTGTTCTCGTTGGGGACATATGGCTTGGAAATGCCAGTTTGACTCCAGGTGTCGGTACTGTGGTAAGAAACACGACTCTCGAGAGTGTAGAGTCAAGATTAAAAACGGTGAAAAAATCGTCCCATCTTGTTGCAATTGTCGAGGAAGCCACAATGCTGGTTCCTATCTATGTCGCATGAAGCCTCATCTGAGAGACTCGAGGACGGGTGCTACAAGCAGGATAGATGTATCCTCGAAGGAAGGAAAGATTGTGCAGCAGGAACATGGAGGAAACAGTTGGAAGCCAATGACAGCGCCTATGAACAATGTGTGGGAGAAAGGAACAGAGACAATTAAGGCGAGCCTAGGGAAAGTAGGAAATGCAGCTGAAAAAATTAAACCTTGTGGAAACAAGGTTCAGGTCAATATAGTGAACTCTGAGGTTGGTACTCAAATATTGGAATATCTAAAAAAACTAGAAAAGAGGATTGAGGCATTAGAAAAATTAACTATGGGGGGTAGACGGGGTGAAGATGGTGGTGAAACAGGACGTGAAGTGGAAAGTGAAACAGGACGTGAAATGGAAAGTGAAACAGGACGTGAAATGGAAAGTGAAACAGGACGTGAAATGGAAAGCCAAACAGGACGTGAAATGGAAAGCCAAACAGGACGTGAAATGGAAAGCCAAACAGGACGTGAAATGAAAAGCCAAACAGGACGTGAAATGGAAAGTGAAACAGGACGTGAAATGGAAAGTGAAACAGGACGTGAAATGGAAAGTCAAACAGGACGTGAAATGGAAAGTCAAACAGGACGTGAAATGGAAAGTGAAATAGGACGTGAAGTGGAAAGTGAAACAGGACGTGAAATGTGCGTTGAAGAAAGTAAGGAAGAACATGACGTATTGATGATAGAGGATAGTCAGGAAAATGAACTTTCTAGTAGTGTTAGCGTTCAACCTTCTGTAGTGACAAATGTCGAAACAAAGGTTAAAGTAAAACGGTATAGAGAAATAAGAAAGAAATTAGATATGAATAAGATCACCTTTGATGCTAGTAGCTGTTGTGCAAATGAGGAGAAAGCAGAAATGTTACAGTGTTGGGAGAGTCTGTCTGAGAAAATCTCGTATCTCATGGAATGTGACAGACAGGGCAAAGGTAGTTTTATTAAATCATGGATGAAAGTAGAGTGAGAATATTATCTTGGAGCGTTAATGGGTTAAAATCTAGTGCGGTGGATGTACACTATTATACTCTTAGATAGTACTATATTAACCTGATATGTTACATGGGATTCTTGTATTTGTACTCACTGAATTTGTGCGCCCCTTGAGGGACTTGAAGTATGGGAAGGGGTAGAAATAGCCTAAGCTAATCTTTGATTTTTTTTTTTTTTTTTTTTTTTTTTTTTTTAACTTGTCTCAATAAACCTACTTGAACTTGGGAGACCATTATGTATTAAAGTGTCAAATTATGGATAACCATAGAAATAAGGAAATAAGTAGTGTACCACTTCAAATTGTTTGGATGTGTGATAATGATATGATAGACAGAATACTTAGGAACTACAAGAATTTTGCCCCAATGATTGTAACACTTACTATATTAATATGCAATGTTAAATGTTGTATTGTGATTTGTGTATCTGTACTCACTGAATTTGTGCGCCCCTTGAGGGACTTGAAGTAGAGGGGGGTAGAAATAGCCTAAGCTACTCTATCCCTTTGAGATGTAGTTTTTTCTTGTCTCAATAAACATACTTGAACTTGAACTTGAATAAAGGTTTCCATACCAGTAATGACAGGTTACAGTAACTTTAACCCTTTTGAATGTTTCTCACAAATATTTCCCATTGAAACATTCCCATTTTCTCACAAAGAGAACACCAGACATTCTAAGAAAATAGGTCTACTCCTCGGAGCAAGTATCAGGTGGCGAGAACAGTTCGAAATTGGATATAGAAATCCAAAGGAGCAAGATACATAAATGAAATTATAACGAGATCATTAAGGGACAAAGACATTAACTGTGGTGTGATGTACGTATAATTACATAAATTTAGTCTGATTGTGTCGAGGTTTGCAGCCCCACCTTCCACTACTCGGTGGTGCGGGCAAATTGCCTCGAGATTCATTTTCTCGTAATGATCTTCATTTACTAAAGATTTGGATTTAGAAAGATCAAGGGGAGCTCTACCTCAAGTAAAAACAAAAAAGTGGGGCTAATGTTGACGATAATTTAGTTTGATCGTACCTTTCATAAACATTACCATCCCAGCATCCCAGGGTAGAGCCAAGCAGAGCGTCGGGGATGTCAAAAGCGTCCACAATAGAGACAGCCTGGGTCCGCAGCGTGGCCAACAGCTCGCATAGTTCAGCCTCAAGGACAGCTATGTGTCTGGCCGTCAGTGCTCCACACTGTCGTCCCCCAAAAAATATTCTTGGTAAATATGTAGGTAATGTGTGTGTGTGAATTCATGTTCATTTACATGTGTACATATATTTTACATCATTGTCAAAGAATGTCATGCAGCAATAATTACCTGTTCAATTCTGAAAGAAGAGTGCTCAAGATAATTTAGCTGATTGAATATTAATATTTATCAGGGATACATAAATCAACTATTGATTTGACTGACCCTGAGGAAGTTTCCTTGAGTAAGAGTGATATGGTAGATGAGATACAGACGGCATAGGCTACGCAGGACATTCCGTACTCCCTCGCTACAATCCAGCGACTCCGCATTAGCCTCAAATTTCTCACAAATGTAGTGCCTTGTATGTGCCTGGCAAAGCCTCAATTTAGTAATTAAAATTTTACGGATAATTTTATTGTACTGTAGTAATAAAATAATGTAATACAAATTCACAGTGAAGAATTAATTATGCTTTATTCTTATATACAAACATATATTAACAAATAATTTTACTATACCTGAGCACACTTGACTAGCTGAACGGAGCAATCATTCCAAGCATGATGGTACTCTCGTCCCATATCACAGAGCTTCTGTAGTCTTGCTTCAGTTTCCACCACGAGGGCTGAAGCCGACACTCGGAAGGCCTCAACTAGAGCTGCCGATGAAAAACAAGGGAAATTAACACATTTTTATACCTGTCATTTGCTTTAAGATTCTCTTGATATAATTTTTGTATTTTTTTCCAATTTCTTCTTATTATTTTAGTCGTGTCATCTCTAGGGATTTATTTTCATGTTTATTTTACATGCTGAGAGAAGCCAAATGATCTTTACTGCCAATATTTTGATAATTATATATAAGTTTTACTTTGTGCATGAAGGCATATGCATATTTTGCATACTTTGTCCTTTCACGTCTGCCTGGTACTGAAACACTGTGATTACTGCACCCAAGAGATTGTCTGCATGCTATATATTGTGCATTAAGCATATTAAGCATCTAAGTGGGTTTTTTTCTCCCACACCTTGCCCGAAACGCTATGCGTATTAGTGGCTTTAGGTATTGTATGTACTAGCTCTATCTATAAATCCAACTTTATGTTTGTAACTCTTCATCTATGTATGTACTTTTGCCTGAATAAAAACTTGAATTTGAATTTGAATACAAGCTGGAGTCCCCAACAGTGCCTGGACCATCCCGGTCACTGGATTGACCCCAAACGGTTATATCATTTAAATGTTCGATGTCCCCAGAACGTAAATCTGCTATTTAAACATGCATTTTGAATGTCAATATCGTTAAAACAGTACTTGGTGGTAATACTACGAACAGCTGAAAAGCTCTAGCGGCAAAAAGCCACCATTTCAGGCTTAATGGGGGGGGGGGGGGGTTGCAATTGGAACTGACCTTCTTAAAGAAGGGTAGGGGAATAAAGCTGACTTCGACCTGCCTATGACAGTCCCATACCACCCCATTAGGCATCATGCACAATTGGTTGAGGCTAATTCCATGTGTCTGGCCTCCAACCTTGGATAAATTTTTCTTTTATATAGATTTGCATACATCCATACATACACATAAACATCTGTGTATGTATATATAGGATATACTGAACATTAAGATGCATGTGTCTCTGTCCACGTGAATGCAGATACATGAGTATCCATATGCTATTTTGTGTAATTACATTTTCATACATATACCTATGTGTATGCATATACACGAAAACATCCAGTGTTATTTTATGTAATCACACATTCATACATGTATACGTCATCATGTGCATCTCTATTTCATGGACGTTGAAGCAGTAGGTAGATAAAATGAGAGTCCATCATTACCTTTATTGGATAACGAAGGCGATGAGGCAAGTTCACCAGCGAGGTGAGAAACAGATGAAGATGACGCCCGTCTTCCAGCTGCTCGGTGTGTCTTGATCAAGTACCTACACAAATAATATCTTCATTGATTGACTGATTGATGAAGATTAAGCCACCCGAAAGGTGGTACGGGCATGAATAACCCGAAAACACATCTTCATCATTAACATGTGCTCATGTAACGGCTCACAACAAAAAGTAAAAAAAAGAGAAGTAGTCTTATTTTTTTGTCCAACAAATTGTGTTTATATTCCTTTGCCTAGTAAGTCAATGTCTCTTTATCTGTTTATTACCTTCTTAGTTATACTTTTCTTTCTTATTCCCATTTTACTTCGTTCTGTTTACTGTGACCCATCCTGGAGATAGTATGCATTGTCCTATTCCATTTGTTCTACATATCTTTTTTATTTATTTAAAGGTATTTTTATCACCAGTATAAAAAATCTAATTCTCTTTTATTATTAACCTTTAAAATTAATATTGTGTAACTTTACATTATATCTTGCGAAGGATAATGAACTGCTCATTTATTATATTTGCATCTTCCATAATTTGTATCTATTCAATCTTCCTAAAACGCCATTTAATAATAATCTACAAATTTTCCTTTTTAAGCAAACATAATTTTTTCCCTCTCACCATTTGCTTGTTACAGCCATCGCATTGCACGTGTTCGTACCTGGCAACCTGCAGCAACAACACAGTGTTCTCTCCTTCATAAGTGATGGCACACGTGGTGCCCGTGTAGAGGCGGGGTAGGTTGGAGGACGCCAGGTACCCGTGCCCCCCACAAGCCAGACGACATATTTCAATGCCCGAGGTAGCATCATCTGAGCTGACAGCTTTCAGCCCACTTGAAAGGGAGTGTAACTAAAATCATAGAGACGTCTGATGATAAGGAAAGGTTTAAATAAAGCATACATTTTCATGAAATTAAGATACATACAGTGCATTAAATTACTATTTATGAATTTAATTTTAATTAAACCTAATTAAGACTTCGATATAAGCCTAACATGTACTGTATGTATAAACTGGCTGCCTGTCCCCCGACACAACGAATTATTATTATTTAATTATTATTTTCTATACTTTTTAGGCATACACCATTAGGCAATAACACTACTCAGGAGCAAAAATTGTTACATTGTGTAAACACAATGTCTACATTCATCTTAGTGTTTTTCTACATCATATATAAGAAGTCACCAAATGTCTCATTGTTGTATAATAATTTTGAAGAGAAAGCACTAAGTCAGTAGGAATATATAAAGTACATAGAAGGGGTATAAGAACAGAATAGGACCTAGGACAGGAGAAAGCAGGGAAGGAATGTTGTCCAACCTCTTACATGCCGACCAACCAGTCCAAACGGTCGTATCTGTGCTATATGTCACAGTTCTGAATGAACAGTGTTACACGTGAAGGTACTGCAGCAATACCTTCTCATGTAACATTAAAAAATGGGGGCCTGAGCAAGAGGTCCCAGGTTCAGCTCCCAGACAGGCCCCCATTTAATGTTATGTGAGAAGGCAAACCTGGTATGCTCACTGTTGCCTCACCTCTGGCAGGAGCTGGACATTACCCTTCTCCATACTGGCTGTTACGCTGGTGTAGATCTGTGCTGCACTTTTGGCTGAGAAGTACAGAGCAAGCACAGATGCAATTTGTGGGATCAGCTTGTACTGCTGAGTCTGGTAGTCTAAAATCTGAGGTTCTGGCTCTCTGAAACACGATAATAAAAAGGTATCGATTTAAAAATATATTGATAATAGTGCACATATTCAGAAGCTTCGCTAATCTCACAGAAATAATTCAGTAGTGTATTCTATAAGTATTCAGTAGAAATCACAGTAAACAACAATCCAGAATACCTTAACTGATACAGAACCAAAATGTGAGCAGCATAATTTACCTTAACTGTTATAGGAGAAATCTAGGAACACTATTTATCAGATATCAGATGTAAAACATTATCTAGATCCTAGAGATTTGTGACAATACACCCGAGGTTCTGTAGTGAGTACAGATTGAGTAATATACACCGAATGAAATGAATACTAGGCAATTATAATAACATAGAATGGTGTATTTACTGTATTACAGGAATTATATGGAATGCAGGCTTGTGTACTGAGCACAGGGAACGGGATGAGAATGGGAAGGGTTGTGCTAGTGATGGTGGTGGATGTGCAAGAGATGATGGTGGATGTGGTAGAGATGATGGTGGATGTGGTAGAGATGATGGTAGGTGTTGTAGTGATAGGGGTGATTGTGGGTGTGAGAATATGTCTGTCTGTCTGTTTCTCCGCTTGTCCGTTTGTCTGTCCAAAGTTGGAGGCCTGACGATTAGGGCTAGCCTCACCCAACTTTGCATGGCGAAGGGTCTGGGGCACGGGATGAACATGTCTAGTCGGGGTAGGCCTAAGTTAAATACTTTAAGAAATATTAGCCTTTATAGACTCATGCGATTTTCATGGAGTAAACTGTGAAATATTTGATGTGATTCCACTACTTTTTTGATGGTAGTAACATTGTAACATATTTTCTGAGACACATTCAAATGTTTCAGTGCTTCTTAATAATACGTTTTCTGAGATAAAGGGCGAAGGAGGGAATCGGCGGGGGGTGGGGGGGGGGGGGGGTTTGAGGGGGAGGGATGAATGGGGTACCAAGGGTTTGGGTTCCAGGTGGTCAAGGGGGAGTTGGGGTGAAGGGTGGGGGGAGGGAAAGAGCCCCCAGGTGCAGCTGGGTATCTCTCCTAGTAAGTGTTGCCTACACAGCCTACTATAAACAAATCCACAAGGGCCGTGATGCTATATTTCTGGATAGCCTACTATACATTATAAAGTATTGCTTACATAGCCTACTATACGTGATAACATATTGTATACAGAATTTACTTCAAATACATTTGTTAAAAATGTAATTATTACATATTGCCAGTTAGCTGAGACTTACCCAGGAGCCATTTCAGACTGGTGCCGTACAGCAGAGTAACGTGTTGCTATTGTGACTGCTTGCTCCAGTTTCCTGCTGCAGTCATAAACAATACCAACTCGAACAAGTATCATAGTTCCATAGGACAGCTTGCTGTGTATCGGCTTGACGTATGTTCCATCCTGCAATTGAAATTATGACTAACATCTCGTCTTCAGTAAATAGGACTATATAATTATCAAAATACATTGAGATCCCAGTCGACCGGATCAACTGGTTTCATCCACTTTTCCGTAGTCTTGGAATCTGTTGCTTCAAGGGATACCTGCTTCTCGGCAATAGTCACGATCTTTATATAAAGACGAGGACAAAATTATTGTGTTCGTGAAATTAAACGCCTCTTTCTGTGTGGTTGCTCGATAGTGGCACCCTTGGGCCATGTTGGATACGCCAGCCTTCCATGACAGTCTCCGTCTAACAAGGGAAATATTAGCACTACATAAACATAACATTCGTCTAACCTTTAACCTACGGTTACTATGTCAGCTTACTTCAGCAGCAAGACCCAAAAACTGATAAAGCTTTGAGGCCTAAAATATACATTGAACTCATCCCTAGACGTTAGAACACTCTTGTCTGTTTTCAGTTATCTGACTAAACTGTGTCATTTACAAACCATAATTTTTAACAAAAATATCCAATGTAAAATATTTAATAATATTTTAATAAAATAAAATATTATTTGTAAGTATTTAGATAAATGAAGTAAATAAGCTGCATGTGACAATACCAGTCAACCACCTTCACCCTCGCACAGGCCGTCCTAAGAGATAGTACATATTTCAGCGTATATAACCACGAGCATACTTACACCACACAAAATATTACATTTTCTCTTTATATAGAGTACATAGTTATACTAAATAACACAAATACATGATTCAATCTCTGAAATAAATCTGACTTTCTCACCTCAAGGACCTGCGAGTGCTTCATGAGTAAGTTGTTACGGGGTATGCGGTAGTGATCAAACCTCAAGAACCCATTGTCGTTTGTGTTGAGTCCCAAGCGTGGTCCAATCTCTCCAACAGTGATTCCTGTTGCAATGTTAAGACTGAGATTACTGAATATGGAGGTACTGTAGCAAAAGAAAAGCAGCCTAAGCTGATGCCTAGTCACATGAGGAGGGGAAACAACAGCTTAAATGTTATCAAGTTAAGCTTCCTTTATTATTAGTTAAGACTTCCAATATTGTAACACCATAAATGGTTTTATAAAACTTACTGATGAGTGAAGTTAGACAGGAGGTTGTAGTTGACAGTCAGTCTGTAATACTGTCGACTGGTGACTGTCTCCAGTCTTAACAATAAAAAGGCACACCCACTGTTTATTTCTCATGTTGACCCAGAGGTGAGGTCTTGTAGCTGACCTGACCACTGTGCTATGCGGATAATTGTAGATGGCTTGTTTGTATCCACATCAAACGAGCCGCCTGTTATGGTGTGATAGCGAGATAGCTCTTAGACTAGCCCTTTGCTGGCTGACCTTAGCTCCTTGACCCTAGATAAATTGGCCAGTAGTGTCAGATTCAAGACAGAGGATCCTTACCCCTACATTGAAGGCTGAGCATTGCAGATCCGAATATTGCATAGTAATTACCAAAGAGAAGGTGGAAAGACAGCTGGAGGACCTAGACAACGCAGTCTCCGTGGTGTAGTGGTAAGACACTCGCCTGGCGTTCCGCGAGCGCTATGTCATGGGTTCGTATCCTGGCCGGGGAGGATTTACTGGGCGCAATTCCTTAAATGTAGCCTCTGTTTAACGCAACAGTAAAATGTGTACTTGGATGAAAAAACGATTCTTCGCGGCAGGGGATCGTATTCCAGGGACCTGCCCGAAACGCTACGCGTACTAGTGGCTGTACAAGAATGTAACAACTCTTGTATATATCTCAAAAAAAAAAAAAAAAAAAAAACGCAAAGGTGTTCAACCAGACCGAGTATCACCAAGGGTATTGACCGAGGCTGACCGAGGCTACGAGGTGAGTAACATTCTGGCTGACCAGCTGAGTTGAATACGTACTCCTGTGATATTACACCTTGATAGTTGACATGTGTGACCATATAGTTTGTTTCCTAATAGCAGGGAGTAACTGAATTTAGTTAGGTCCCAATATCATAATTCATAACGTAGATGGAACAATCACTGACGCAAATGTGGAAGTGGTGTCCGTAGAAGACGATAAGGAAAATTTTATTTTAGTCTCAGTCAGGGAGTCTATCTTAGGGAGATGTCTCAGTTTCACTGATTTTTCCCGCCACGGGTGGTGACGTGAGCAAAAATGTAAAACATTTTTTCTGACAATCGCGAGTGAAGTGACGGGTGACGTCATGACTAGATGAGCCAATCAGGAGGAAAGCAATGGGGAAAGGAGAAGGCTTATGGTGTTGGTCAGAGTAGCGGTGAGGTGGCTGGGGACAGTTTTTTTCCAGTTGGTAGAGTCAATCGTGTTGGATCCGACTTGAGTATCAGTCTAGGCAGCCAGGAAGGGTTCGGGAACCTTTGGGAGACGTCTGCCACTGTGGAGTTTGAAGGTACACGTGGACGCAGAGAAGATTTGGTCCAGCCTAACGGGGAGGGACCACAGTGTATCTGGGGAACTTGTCACTAAGGCACGTCAAGGTTGGAGGAGGTGAGAGTTTACTTTTAAAGTTTACTTTACTTTAAACTCAAGTAAACCTGAGTTTACCTGAGGGCCACTAACACTAATGGCCTCGACGAGGACAGGAAGCCGGCGGCTTGTCGAAGGTCCCCCACCCCCCCAGCACCACGAATATGTAAAGATAGAAGGGATGTAATACAAAGTGCACCGTTACAGTAACGACTGACTTTCAATAAAACGCTGGAGACTGGAAAACTTCTAATATAATTTAGCTAAGACTAGGCTAAGAGTATAGCCTAGTCTTGGAAATTGTGATTTCTGTGTGCATGATTCATATATTCAAGAAACTAAACCACGGACCAGTGTTAATAACAAACATTTCTAGCAAATATAAATTATCAGTAAAAAGGCTCTTTCCTGACAAGGCCGATGCAAATCTCTATTCATTTAGAGGATATTAATTCAGACCATTAAAGTTGACTCATTGCATAAGAGACAGTATGACAATAAAAGATACAGGCTGACACACACTACATATGGTCCAGACTCTCAATACACAAGGTACACACTCAATGAGCAAAGTACAGGCTCACTGTGCGTGCAAGGTACAGACTCACTAGCCACAGACGCTACACAAGATGCAGACTCGCACTGTACAAGATACAGACTCATACTGCACAAGATGTATACTCAGACTGTGTAAGGTACAGATTCACAATTCAAGGAACACTCACACTGCACATGGAACACTTACACTGCACAAGACACACTCACACAGCACAAGGAACACTTACACTGCACAAGACACACACACACAGCACAAGGAACACTTACACTGCACAAGACACACTCACACAGCACAAGGAACACTTACACTGCACAAGACACACTCACACAACACAAGGTACAGACTCACATTACAAGGAACTGACCAAAGGTCTAGACTGACCAGGAAGGCTGCGGTGGGTGTTCTCATCCCTCAGTTGTACCACAAATGGATGGGGACCATGGCAGCGGCCCTGAGTGTACAGTTGAGCCATCACCACAGCGTAGTTGCAAGTCTTGCCCACTATGATACGAGAAACAACAGAGTATTATTATAAATTTACTATATATGTGTGACCAGGATGGAAATATTTTGGTTTGCATTTTTCCATGGTACAATGTCTCTCACTAATTCTAAAAATAACTAGTACAATGTCCCAATGAATTTTTGAGTGCAATCTCAAAAATCAAGGGTTGAATGTGTCGGAACAGCCTATTCTGGTGGGTCTTTCAGTAGCGCCTCATGTTTAACCATTGGTTAAACCATTGGTTTAACGCCAAAGCCTAGTCTTAGTAAAGACCAGTCCTAGTCTAAGAATAGCCTAGTCTTAGAAAGTCGCTCAATTACTCTGAGACCTTCCCTGGCAAACCGTAAGCCAGAAACAGAATTTGGTTTATTTTCACAGAAGAAAATTAATAAAAATAAGTGTTACACGTCAGGACAGAGTGTTACAAGTGTTACACGCCAGGACAGAGTGTTACAAGTGTTACACGCCAGGACAGTGTTACAAGTGTTACACGCCAGGACAGTGTTACAAGCCAGGACAGTGTTACAAGTGTTACACGCCAGGACAGTGTTACAAGTGTTACACGCCAGGACAGTGTTACAAGTGTTACACGCCAGGACAGAGTGTTACAAGTGTTACACGCCAGGACAGTGTTACAAGTGTTACACGCCAGGACAGTGTTACAAGTGTTACACGCCAGGACAGTGTTACAAGTGTTACACGCCAGGACAGTGTTACACGCCAGGACAGTGTTACAAGTGTTACACGCCAGGACAGTGTTACAAGTGTTACACGCCAGGACAGAGTGTTACAAGTGTTACACGCCAGGACAGTGTTACAAGGGGTACTTACATGCGCCAGGCCACCACTTGGTTGCTGTTATAGTGGGCGAATGCAACACAAACTCCTGTGTTGCTGGGTCATATGTTGCCGTGGTTTCCAGACCCCTCACAAATGTTCCATGTCCCAGTTCGGTCTGGAAATAAACCGTTGTCAACAAAGGTCAACAGTGACTAGAATGCACACGACCTCACAACACATACAACAGTGACTAGAATGCACACGACCTCACAACACATACAACAGTGACTAGAATGCACACGACCTCACAACACATACAACAGTGACTAGAATGCACACACAATATTTAATAAACCTTCGCCATCTTTGCAAGTTTTCTAAAAGGTATTCCAATATGCACTAGGCTGCGTCTTTCTTAAAAACTAAGCATAGTTGTACCTGTGCATAAGTGCCAATAATCTCAGCTCTCTCAGCCCGGCCCAGCCACTCCTCCTGTTGCTGGGCGTTGCCCTGGCCGCGAATGGCTGGGAGAAACATGGACTTGTGAAGACCTAATGGGTTTCCATCCTTCAAAACTCCTCCCACTATTCTTGTGTCCAGGTTCCTGTGAAATTAACCAGCTCTCAGTTTATAAAATGTTTTGGATGTCATGGTTCACGGGGTTTAGGCGTGCGCCTGTGGTTGCACAGGATCCCCATTTTACTTCAAAGAATTTCTTAATGTACTCTATATTCAAACAAAACTAAAACACCTAAACTAACCGATTCTAGGTCTAGCTATACACAAAATAATATTAATTTATATATAACAAAATAATTTGTATTACACAGTATCGAAAAATGATTCACGAATTATGCATTTAGGGACTGTGGTCCCCAAATGCGCGCGCTACCAGAGGGCGGCTGGCAGCCGTAGCCTCTTGAAGGACTTGAACACGCAACTTTATATTACAGATTACATGGCCTCGCTAAAGAACATGTTAGTAAGAAGCATCGATCACGCCAAAAAAACACTACAGTGCCGGCTGGGGAAGCTGAACATATCGGTGCCGGGTAGACCCAGGGCAGACAAAGCTTGAACCACGGACGCTTAAACTCACTAACGAAGCAGAGCAATTATAATTATGAACGCAATACGAAATCGAGGGACGTCCCATACCAAAACGGCAACTCTGAATTCGATGCAGATTCCCAAAGGAGTTCGGAGACAGCCAGGAACTGGTACAACGGGAATTTAACAGGGAAGGGTACCGCTCCCACAGCATACAGGCCTAACTACTAAGCCCAGGGTGGGAACGAGGATACTGTGGCCCAGACTGTGTGTGGAGAAAGTGTCCTGTCAAAATAGGAAACAGAGTCCATGCACCACAGAAAGGTGGAACTGAAACGAATGATTTCTTGTCCCCCGTCAATCATCAGATTGACGGGGGACAAGAAGTTATAACCAGTCAATTATTTAAAAATATATCGCATACCATTTCTCATTCTAGCAGCTCTTGTGATAATATGGTGGTCTGGGGTAATTATAATATAACTGGTAGTTATATTCCCTGGAAGATCTGTCAAGTGTATGGAGGCTTTCACGAATCTAAGAACGAAATAAGTTCAAAACACATCTGGCAAAATTATTATCTTTATGTTTGTGAAAAGATCTATATTCAGGCATTTAGGGTGGTTGATTGGTGGAACAAATTAGTGGATAAAATAATACACGTGGGAAATGAAAATGGATCACTTGATTGTTTCAAGCGCAGGCTAGACATAAATATGAACGAGTTTGGGTGGATATAAACAATGGTCTCGTATAGGCCTGCTACGGGTTCGTCGTCGTTTCTTCATTGACTAATATGTGGTTCGGTCGTCACAGTTCCACACATATGTTCTTCTAGTCAACATCAAAACATTCCAGTATGTTTACCATCCCCCTGTTGCTTCCTCTTTTGTTTTGCCCAATTATATTTGATCATTACTAATAACTTACTTGTCTTGGGCTCCCAGCCTGTCCAAAGTCTTCATCAAATGCACCGACTTGCGCAGCTCGTTACCATAACGATCCTCATGGCTTAAATAGTCTTGAGGGACTTTGTCACTGAATTCTGGGTCATTTATCAACACTCTCTCTGGAAAGGAGAATGTTGAAAGTTAAACATAGAAAACACGACCTGTCGTGGTGTTTAATATTCAACACCAAATAATATTTTCTGTGTTGACCAGACCACACACTAGAAGGGTAAAGAGACGACGACGTTTCGGTCCGTCCTGGACCATTCTCAAGTCATTCTCACAATCGACTTGAGAATGGTCCAGGACGGACCGAAACGTCGTTGTCCTCTCACCTTCTAGTGTGTGGTCTGGTCAACACACTTTAGCCACGTTATTGTGACTCATCGCCTAATATTTTCTGTGGTATTATATTTGGTTAGTCCGTGAAGTTCCTATTACATTTGGTTAGTTAGTAAAGTAAATCCATAATACATTTAGATAATCAGTAAAGTACATATTAAATTTGGTTAGTCTGTGATATCGATATCACATTTTGTTAGTCCATATTACATTTAGTCCGTGAAGGCAGTACACATATTTTAAAATCTAATTATTACAAGTGCAGTTTTAAAAAATAAAGTACACGTCCTGACCTATGAATGACATTTGGGGTACTGTAGGCGGAGTCTACTCACGTATCTCTCTACGAATAGCGGTCTTCTCCTTCCCACCATCCATAATGTTCGTAAGTTCCTCTGTGTTGAAGGTGCATTTTGCTCTCTCCCTTTTCAGGTCTTCAACACATTTCAGCTCACTCTTCGGGGCCATTATTATTTGTGCGTTTACTTGTAGCTCCTATACCTGAACAAAATATAAATATACGGAATTTAAAATAGTACTACAGACGTACTTGTACCATGCACACTGTGCATGAATCTGTCACCCTGGTCTATGTGGCTAGGACCAGACTTACAATCTCAACGACTCTTGGTATTAGACGTTGAGATGTAAGTCTCATCATAACTACACACTCAGACCTTGACAAAGCACTCAGGAGAGTGCGAAATTTATGTGATTATGTGAATTGCCTCTTGAGGCAATTCACATAAGAATAGAGCGACCTACCATGAACACCCAAATCACGGAACTATTTACTCTACCCACCATGAGAGTAAGGACAAGACAAGAACATATCGATGCCAACACAGAAGACAATGTCCAACATAACAGGCCAATTACACTGGATTAATCTTTGTGTTTAGATAGGAGATGCCTCGTATGGGCCAATAAGCCTTCTGCAGCCTCTATGTTTCACCTCACATTTATCCCTTATGTATCCCCCCATGTTTTTCACCTTCATTGTATATATATATATATATATATATATATATATATATATATATATATATATATATATATATATATATATATATATATATATATATATATATATACAGTATATCAAAGGTGGTGATCTTTGGGAGGGGGGGGGGGAGTTTAAATACCCCAAAATTACCATCTCTTTTTAGGGGTCTGAGTTTAGTGCAGTGGGTTAAAGGCGTACCTGCTATGCCAGTTGCTGTGAGGCTTCTGTGCTGGCTAGGGTTCGAGTCTCCTGATGGGAAAGTGTTCTAAAGTTGTAAAACTTCACTTGTGTATTTTAGGTATTTAGATTTTATTTTATTGCATATATATATATATATATATATATATATATATATATATATATATATATATATATATATATATATATTAGTATATTTTGGTAGCAGTCTTTCCTGTAGACATATATTATTAAATATGACCGAAAAAGTAAGATTAATAATTCTAACATTGGCCGAAGTGGGTTTCCACTTATTGTGGGTTATTGTTCCAAGTGGGTTAGAATTATTAATCTTACTTTTTCGGTCATATTTAATAATATATATATATATATATATATATATATATATATATATATATATATATATATATATATATATATGCACACCCCAGAAGTGACTCGAACCCATACTGCCAGGAGCAACGCAACTGGTATTACAGGACTTCACTTCTGGGGTGTGAGTTTTCAGTTGCATATAGTCCTGGGGACCATTCAGGCTTGTTCGCATTTGTGTTCCTCACGTGTGCCCCAAAGAATGAGGTGATTTGATCAAATGCTATGCCCAAGATTACCATCCGAGTGCCGGCGAGGAAGTGGTTCAAATAGCTTCGGCTATCACTTCCTTATTGTCCGGTCGTGATGGTCAAGTGGATTAAGGTGTCCTGTACATACCAGTTGCGTTGTTCCTGGCAGTATGGGTTCGAGTCACTTCTGGGGTGTGAGTTTTCAGTTATATATATATATATATATATATATATGTATATATATATATATATATATATATATATATATATATATATATATATATATATATATATATATATATATATATATATATATATATGTCGTACCTAGTAGCCAGAACGCACTTCTCAGCGTACTATGCAAGGCCCGATTTGCCTAATAAACCAAGTTTTCATGAATTAATGTTTTTTTCGACTACCTAACCTAACCTAACCTGACTTTTTCGGCTACCTAACCAAACCTAACCTATAAAGATAGGTTAGGTTAGGTTAGGTAGGGTTGGTTAGGTTCGGTCATATATCTACGTTAATTTTAACTCCAATAAAAAAAATTGACTTCATACATAATGAAATGGGAAGCTTTATCATTTCATAAGAAAAAAATTAGAGAAAATATATTAATTTAGGAAAACTTGGCTTATTAGGCAAATCGGGCCTTGCATAGTAGGCTGAGAAGTGCGTTCTGGCTACTAGGTACGACATATATATATATATATATATATATATATATATATATATATATATATATATATATATATATATATATATATATATATATATATAAACCTGAAAAGTACCCAGGCTTTAAATAAAGTGGGTACTTTTAGTATTTATTTAAAGTGGGTACACAGACCCACTTTAAATACTTTAAAGTAAGGTCTGTGTACTATTCAGGCTCAACATTTGATATAGTTCATTTTCTGCGGCTTAAACCCAGGATTAGATAAAATGGTTGACCACATATCCCGAATGCACTCGGACATGGGGTTCCATGAGTTCATAAAGACTATGCTTCTGTATCGTGGTGGTATAGTGGTACAGCATTGTATTGGGGGCCTCGTAGCCTGGTGGATAGCGCGCAGGACTCGTAATTCTGTGGCGCGGGTTCGATTCCCGCACGAGGCAGAAACAAATGGGCAAAGTTTCTTTCACCCTGAATGCCCCTGTTACCTAGCAGTAAATAGGTACCTGGGAGTTAGTCAGCTGTCACGGGCTGCTTCCTGGGGGTGGAGGCCTGGTCTAGGACCGGGCCGCGGGGACACTAAAGCCCCGAAATCATCTCAAGATAACCAGCACTCTGCTTTGCATCACGCGGACGGAGGTACTAGTCCCAGCAAGGGCTTTTGGAATATATATTGAATATATATATGATTGATATACAAATTGAGACTAAAAACATGAAAAGTATACTATCGTGTATTTGTTAATAAAATAAACTAGTATTTTAATATTATTATTATTATTATTATTCTTAACGGTAATGGTAATGTCTTCTCACAGAAGTATTATTATTAAATTAAATTAAATTAAGTAATTTTTTCATTCAGGAAAAGTACATACATAGATGATTTACAAACACAATGTTGGATTTATAGATAGAGGTAGTACATACAGTACCTAAAGCCACTAATACGCACAGCGTTTCGGGCAAGGTGAGGGGGAAGAAAAACACTTAGACTAAAACTTAAAAGTAATTGGGATTAGGTATAAATTGTGTTGCAATAATAATAACTAATAGTGTTGAAATAATAATAAATAATAAATTATGTGGAAATAATAATAAATTGTATTATTGAGAAACTTACTACAATGTCGTAGTGCTTGAATTAAGGCGAAGGAAAGATCCAGTATTATATGTATAAATGTATTAAAATCCAAATTTTCGGATGTAACCTACATTCTTTCTCAAGGTGCTGTATACAATGCTCTGACTAAAGGATAAAGTCTATCAGGACATTGTATACAATTTCCTTTAGAAAGGTTAAGTCCGAAAATTTGCTTATTAATAAGTTTATACATATATTGGGTCTTCACCTTCATTATTATTAAAATGGAGAGTTGAGTTAGGTTTACTTAACGAGTAGCGATGTGTGGTTATATAAATTAAATTAAATTTTGCCCCGAGGGGCGAGTTTATTGGGCAGTGCCACTCATGTTGTGAGTGGACATACCGCCATAGCAGCATAGTTGACTGAAATTAGGTTATGGCTTAGTTAGAAAGGTTGGAAACGGAGCATTTGACCTATAGCCTATTCAGTATTGTGAGCTAGACGAGAAAAGTCATGGAAGAAGCTCTATAAGAGTTACACGTCGTCACGAACCTGTTAATAAGCAGCCCGTTGTATCACAGTGCTCAAGTTAACTGAGAGATGCAACGCAGCCAGTGAGAGTGGTAGTTGAGTTCCTGCTGGGGACCCCCACCCGACCTGCCCGCCCCACACCCTCTCCCAACCCCCTTCGTCCTCCCCCTCCCAGGGACGAGCCCAACGGCGCCTCACCCACCACCCCGCTGCTGACCTTGGACTGTTGATAGTAACTCACCGTGACACTCCACTTCCCCCACACCTTAGTAACAGTTGTTTTGTTCTTTAATTATTATATCAAGATCATTGTTCTTGCAACTCAATATTCTCTAGGGCTAGGCTGAGCAAGTTATAACATTGCTGGGCTAGTAAGAGAACTGATTAAGGTATACGCCAAGATTACATTTAATGTTTTACCTAATTTAGTTTAATTAGCTAATTAAAGAGACTTATACCATTCTATTAGACAAGGGTTCCTCACCTTAAGATGGTTCAATCAGTTCCCCAACCAGAGGAAGCCGATCAGCAGGAGTACATGCAGGAAATTCGGGCAGGAATTCTGCCCGAAACGCTGCGCGTACTAGTGGCTTTACAAGAGTGCAATTACTGTACTATGCTATGTATTCTCACCAACCCAATGTACCTTCTTGTATATAAATAAATAAATAAATAAATAAATAACATATATGAGGCTATGAAAACAGTGGACGTAGCGGTGATTTACAATCCTCCACTAAACTACAGAAGGGCCAGGGAAGAATATGATGATTGTAATAAGACTTCCCTGAAGGTGAAGTGGGCCTGACAGCTGAGTGGACAAGGCTCGGGATTCGTAGTCCTAAGGTTCCGGGATCGATCCCAGGTGGAGGCGGAAACAAATGGGCAGAGTTTCTTTCACCCTGTTGCCACTGTTCACCTAGCAGTAAATATGTACCTGGGAGTAAGACAGCTGCTACGGACTGCTTCCTGGGGGTGTGACGCTAAGCCCCCGAAATCATCTCAAGATAACCTCTCAAGATAAGGTAATGTAAAAAGCAGCCACAATGGCAAGGGGAGGGGCTAGAAAGCTAATAACTGGGGATTTCAATCACAGAGAAATGGACTGGATAATTAAGGACCACCACGAAGGTGATGAGACATGGAGAGCCAAACTGGTAGCCACAGTAGACAAACATTTTTTTGAAACAGCATAATGCAGAACCAACAGAAGTAAGGAGGGAGACCCCATCAGCAATACTAAACTTGGTGTTTACCAAAAATAAGGCAGAGATTGAGGAAACAGAGTGTGAGATGCCCCCAGGGGCTAGTGACCACTGCATTATCGTGTTTCAGTATATAGTGGAGCTAAAGGAACTGGATAGACCAAGAAACACACTGAGGAAAGTGAGGGACTGTAAACATGCGGACTACAGTAAGGTGAGGGAGTTTCTTCAAGTCCAGTGGGAAAAGAACTGGAAGGAAGGCAACAGATGAGATGGTTGAAATTATTGCTCAGAAATGTGCAGATGCAACGTAGCTGAACATTCCTTTCAAGGAGATGGATGAGAAAGACAAAGTAAACCTCTGGTTTAATAAGCAATGCAGAGAAGCAAAAGAGAGGACCAAAAAGCAACGAAAATGTACAGAGAACTAGGAAAAGATACACTAAAGAGACAGAAATGAATACAGCAGAGCCTGCTAAAAGACAAATTTAAAATGTCATTTGCAGCAATAATTAAGGACCACCAACTAAAGCTATTTCATAGTCATTTAATGTGCAAAAACAAGAGTAGAGACCACGTGATAAGGTTAAAAAGATAAGGTTGAAGTCTCATAGAAAATGACAAGGAGGTGTGTGAAGAACTCACAAAAAATTTCAGGAAGTTTATGTAAAGAAACCTATGTGGAGACCAGAGATGAGTGATGAAAGGCAGTACTGGACGACATAGTAATCACTGTGGAAGAGATTAAATAAATACTTCAAGGAATTAGATGCAACAAAATCAATTGGGTCACACTTAATATAACCATGGCTGTTGAAGGAGACTGCTGAGGTGCTTTGTCACCTTCTATATTATAATAATGATATTTTTGATTATTATTAATTTATTTATTACTAGCTGAACCCGACCACGAGCCGCAACAACCCTCCCCAGTCCACCCGTCCCCCCCCCCACCAATCCCCCCTCACCCGTCCCCCCCACCAATCCCCCCTCACCCGTCCCCTCTTCCTCCCAACCATCCCCCCCCCCCCGTCTCTTCATTCTCCCCACTATTCATCAACAATATCGAGGACGAAAATTTAAACCTGTCGGTATTCAACCTAGAGTTCTGCAGCACCGACAAATCATCAATGAAGATTACGTTCACCACCATAGCTGCGGCCACCCAGGCTGCCACACAAGGATTCTACTGCTTCGGCTTAAAAATTCCACCCCACCAAATAAAAAAGGAACGATACCATGAGATCCAGCAGTGCTTTAAGTGCTACGAGCTCTCCCACCCGACCAATAAGTGTCAGCATCCTGTTCAGAAGTGCAACCTGTGCGCACTGGACCATCTCTACTCCATATGCAAGGCAACAGTCCATCGCTGCTTGCTCTGTGATGGCAATCACCCTGCAATTTCCTACCGCTGCCCTAGCAGACAGGAAAGCATCAAGGCCCAGGTTGAAGCCAAGAGGAACAACCCTTCTACCTCCTCGACCAGAGCCCCAAGAGTTCAACCCACCACCTTAGCTCTCACAAATCGACCAGAAGACTTTCCAGTCTTACCAACATGTGGCTCCTCCCAGCAGGCGTCACACCCTTCTCATTGGGGGACCCAAGGTCCCACAGGCTCCTTCACAGCCCCCTGCATCACGTGCAGGTATTATCCCTTGTCTTATTAGACTAGCGGAAAGGCTTGCAGGACCAGACAACCAGCGCTTTGTCAGTGAACTAAACGCATTATACATAGACCATGGCCTGGCCCCCATCATAGCCACTAGCGTAAATCTCACTGCCTCCTCTACCACTCCAGAGACTACCACCAGGACGACCAGGTGGTCAACTTCAACACCGACTCCAGAACCGCCCATGACCCGGGCGACACAAACAGAGGTAATTCCCTCTCCAGCTCCCAACACTCCTACCATCACTATCTCAGCAGCCGCGCTAGCAGAGGTGCTGTCTACAAACGATAACAGCACCACCAGCGCTCCTGAAATAGCTACTACTACCAGTCAACGACACCTAAGCCTACCTAAGGCTGCGAGGCGATATACGAAAACGCCCACTACGGCGGTTACGGACTCCTCAGACGAGGAAATCATATAAATAGTAGAAGCTCCACCGCCGCATCACAAATACGACACCTACACGGTTCAAGACTTCCTCATGGAGGCCACGTCACCAAACTCCAACGACAGCACTACTCAGCCAAAGTCGCAGGCAAAGAAAAAACGGAAAACCTAGAGGTCTACACTAACCCCACCAGCTCCATAACTGGTATAGCCAGCCCTCCAGGCTGAAAACCATCATGAAGACCCCCATCCATCGCCAGATCTCTAGTATCAGCCACTGATACAGATAATGGCTCCAAAGAGCCTCCACTTACGGGCTCACCATAGCCCGTGCTACTGGAACTTATTGTTCTGAGTAACTGCATCTAAAACAACAACAACAACATCCGAGTACAGAGCCCTGTGGGACTCCACTGGCGACTTCACGCCAATCTGAGGTCTCACCCCTGAGTATATGAGTGGGATTGGGTGGTTATAAATAGGAGCTGCCTCGTATGGGCCAATAGGCCTTCTGCAGTTACCTTTGTTCTTATGTTCGTAGGTTTCTGCACTCCATGACCGACAAGCTACTGAACGCCACTATAAAAACATATGTACCTTCACTTAAGCTTTATATATGTCTATGGTAAAGTATTTTAAATGAAGCTTATATTTCTATCTTTCTTAAGACATATAAAACATTTGCGTTTATTAACGAATTTACGTGAAATTAGCATTGATCTGACAGGACAGAGAGAATTGCTCTGTCGATCAGTCTGTGCGGGGGTCGGAGCTCGGTGATTATTAAAACACATGTATCTTCTTTAGAATTTTATATATATCTATGGTAAAGTATTTAAAATGAAGCTTATATTTCTATCTTCCTTAAGACATATAAAACATTTGTGTTTATTAACGAATTTACGTGAAATAAGCATTGTTGTGAGAGAGAGTTGCTCCGTCGCTCGATCTGTGCGGGATCAGAGCTCGGCGATTATAAAAATACACGTATCTTCGATTTAAATTCAAATATGCACATGGTAAGGTAGGAGGAAGTAGAAGGAGGAAATGTATATGTTTATCTCTCAGAATGTTTGGTAATATGTTTATTGGTTGTGATGTGTGTATATGTATGTATTAACACGTTGTACTGAACGGGGTGAGAATAGCTTGAGCTACCTCATTCCTTTGTGTGTATTTTACCTCAATAAACTTATTTCAATTTCAATGGTAAGGTATTTAAAGATGAAGCTTATGTTTCTATTTGTAGTTTCTATAAGCATTGTTGTGAGATACTGATTTGATCTATGATAGTAGACAGTTAATAGTGAATGTCTTAGGAGTGTATAGTGAATAACATTTAATATGAATAACATCTCTCAAGGTCACTCTCAAAGTAACATCTCATCATATACACCCTAAAAGTACTTCTTTCATTATTTCATTAACATTATTTTACCTGGTAAGAAAGTAGAAAATACCTTTTACAAATGATTACAAAATGCTAAGAAGATATCAATCAGTTACAAAACTAATGCGATTACAAGAAAGTTTCCTGAAACGCATTTGAAAGATAAAGAAGCCAAACACAACTATGAAGATGCAGTATACTATCTTCAAGACATATTACTATCCACCTGCACTCCCGGAAACAGGTAATGGGGGATGATATTGAGGAGGAAGAGGATCACGGCTTGTGCTGCTGTGCTCGTGCGATGTGCGTCAACACTGGAGGCTCAGGCAGGACTGTGCCACTCTCTAGCTCACCCAACAGCTCAACCTACCAAAAAAAATCAATTTTATCATTTATGGTGTTATTATAAAACTTAAAAAAAAAAATTATATGAAATAACTCACAGTTACATGCTGAGTATTTAAACTTGCTGAAGGTCTTATTTCGTTTATTGAAAATACACATGTATTAAGGTAATGTAATACACATGTATTAAGGTAATGTATAAAAAAAGACTGCAGTATTCATAAGATATACTTTGGTGAATTGTTTCTCACAGTGAAGACCAACAAAGCTATATCAATAAAACGAAAGCCCGAAACGCTGCGCGTACTAGTGGCTTTACAAGAATGTAAATACTGTACTATCCAATGTATTCTCACAAACCCAATGTACCTTCTTGTATATAAATAAATAAATAAATAAATAAATAAATAAATAAATAAATAAATAAATAAATAAATAAATAAATAAAAGAAAATGCCCGTGTGTTTGTTTGTCTAAGAATGTAGGTCAGACACCTGAAGCAAGTTTCACCAAACTTTTCAAGATGACATATAGGTAGTAGGGGACTGTCATAAGCGGGTCGGGCCAGTTGCCTCCTCTTTAAATAAGTTTTGTCTTTTATTGTGAGTTCTATGAAGGATGAAATAGTGGTTTAATTTTCCAGATTTTGTTTTCAACAGCTTTTAGCTATTCATATAGTTTCAACAGTTTTAAACTGTTCACACTCCAGGACTTCGGCCTTGGACTGTGTAGAACTGTGCGGCATCTGCTGTAATGGGAGCTCTCTATACATGAGAGAGGTTACCAAAAAGACTGTCACGTGCCGCGTAGGTATAGAGAACAAGCTTTGCATAAGAACATAAGAACAAATGCAACTGCAGAAGGCCTATTGGCCCATACGAGGCAGCTCCAGGAGCTTTCCAATGGCATGTCTTCGTCCAGGAAAATGGTAACAGTTGTATGCGAAGGGAGAAGCTGAATAAGTATTGTTCGTAGGAGCTCACTGAAAAATGGGGCGCGTACTAAAAGAAAGACATGTTCCATGTGGCACAGGAGCTACACCGGTGTCTTGGCGTGGAGGGTCTTGTCACTGAAGAGGTAGTCAAACTTCTCGATGCAGTTCTTAGGTGTTGTTTATAGGAGGGTATTCTTCGGCACTCAGTATGTCTTGTCTGTTGGTGCAGAAGCTTCGATAACGGTGTATGTACTCACCTAATTGTGCTTTGTCTCTTTGGTCCCGCCTCTCAACTGTCAATCAACTGGTGTACAGATTCCTGAGCCTATTGGGCTCTATCATATCTACATTTAAAACTGTGTATGGAGTCAGCCTCCACCACATCACTGCCTAGTGCATTCCATTTATTAACTACTCTGACACTGAAAAATTCTTTCTAACGTCTCTGTAGCTCATCTGGACACTGGTAGCTCAAGGGGACACAAGTTTCCACCTGTGTCCCCTTGTTCGTGTCCCACCCGTGCTGAAGAGTTTGTCTTTGTCCACCCTGTCAATTCCCCTGAGAATTTTGTAGGTGGTTTCCATGTCTTCCCTTACTCTTCTGTTTTCCAGGAACGTGAGGTTCAGCTCCTTTAGCCTTTCCTCGTAGCTCATACCTCTCAGTTCCGGGACGAGCCTGGTGGCATACCGCTAAATCTTCTCTAACTTTGTCTTGTGTTTAACTAGGTATGGACTCCAGGCTGGAGCTGCATATTCCAGGATTGGTCTGACATAAGTGATATACAGGGTCCTGAACGATTCCTTACACAAGTTTCTAAAGGCAGTTCTTATGTTGGCCGGTCTAGCATATGCCGCTGATATCCTTTTGATGTGGGCCTCTGGGGAAAGGTTCGGTGTGATATCAACCCCCAGATCTTTCTCTCTGTTTGACTCTTGCAGGATTTCACCTCCCAGATGATACCTTGTGTTCAGCCTCCTGCTCCCTTCGCCTAATTTCATTACTTTACACTTTCCCGAGTTGAACTTTAGCAATATGTGTAGTACTAGTAGTACTTTAGTACTAAGTGTAGTACATAGCATTCATGTTAAGTATGGAGAGGAAGAAGGCGTACTGGGGATGCTTCTGCCATAGGAAGATAGTCTCAAGTTGGAGAAACAATTTCTCTGGTTCCACTAGGATGCACGCCAGCATCTTGGCGGAGACAGCCACATCGTGTTTATCACTAGTGTTTGGTCTGTTCTCTGCTGCGTGTAAGGGTTCTGTGTAGCATCAACTCTTAAGCTCACCAATGTAATATAAATGGCTTGAATACATACAAAAAGGTATAAACTCTTAATGTGGTGTCTAATTCTCAGATGGACATTGAGACACACAGAAACACACAAGAATATATACGATCTTGTCCAGTCCCATTCCCTGATCTTATCCCAATTTTGGAATACTTTGTGAGCCAGAATAAGGACATTGCAGGCTGTGTGATCTAGCTGGTGCCGAGTTCCGTGTTGAATGTAAGATGTTGAGTGGTTGTGATCATGTCCAAGGATACTCTTAATTCTGTGGCGCGGGTTCGATTCCCGCACGAGGCAGAAACAAATGGGCAAAGTTTCTTTCACGCTGAATGCCCCTGTTACCTAGCAGTAAATAGGTACCTGGGAGTTAGTCAGCTGTCACGGGCTGCTTCCTGGGAGTGGAGGCCTGGTCGAGGACCGGGCCGCGGGGACACTAAAGCCCCGAAATCATCTCAAGATAACTCAAGATGTTGGTTCTAGCAGTGACTCCTTGGTGTGGCTAGTTAAGACTGCTTAAACCGTTTTAAAGCTGGCCTTAAAGGTTATCAAGGGCATCACAATAGCTTACTGACCAGCCAGAAAGTACACTTTAGGCTTTGATATAGTTCAGAACTAAAGGAAACTCAAGGTATTTTCCATTTTATATATCAAGCCGCAGCAGCCATCCAAATGACCGCTGGTCGCCAACTGAACGAGAAGAAACGGTTTGGTCTGGTTATGACCAGTGGTAGCTGCGACCGCTCTTGTAGCCATTGTAGACCTGCTCCTACAACCACAACTCATCGGCTACACTACATCAAGCTATGTAACAACGTAGTTGTACTTCAATAGTTTGCCTATAATTGATTGCCTTAAACTAGTCAGATTTCATACTGTAATACATAATTCACCCTAAGAACTCTGTTATGGAAAAATTATTGACAGTTTCAATACAGATTAAAAAATGTTATGGTACTAAAGAAGGGCAAGTTTTGCTGTACCTGTACTTGAGTGCCGGGAACGGCTAGATGTGGAGGAAGGTACACATATGCTAAAGGCTGACCAAGATGGTACGAAAAACATCCACTTGTGGTGTTACCAACAGCCTTACCACAGAGCCACACTGTCTCATCACCCTGAGACACAATATAAACATTATTACAGGTGCAATTATGAACTAAAATAGAAGCATTTATTATCTGCATTAATTGAATAAAATGTACAGAACAGCAATGGGTAAAATAGCTGCTTAATACTCACATTTGGATCAACATCAGCGGAGTCTATTTTCACCTGCACCAGACGGCGTCGTGGTCTCTGCTTCAGTAACTCCTGCAAGGCTCCCCGTCCAACAAACTCACCCTAAAGTAATGACAACAAATGGAAGTTTGTTACTCATATTTACTCATTAGTCTCCGTGGTGCAGTGGTAAGACACTCGCCTGGCGTTCCGCGAGCGCTATGTCATGGGTTCGTATCCTGGCCGGGGAGGATTTACTGGGCGCAATTCCTTAACTGTAGCCTCTGTTTAACGCAACAGTAAAATGTGTACTTGGATGATAAAACGATTCTTCGCGGCAGGGGATCGTATTCCAGGGACCATAGGATTAAGGACTTGCCCGAAACGCTACGCGTACTAGTGGCTGTACAAGAATGTAACAACTCTTGTATATATCTCAAAAAAAAAATATGTAGCTGTACCTGAGTATCCAATAATTACGTTTCTGCATGACAACTCTCCATCTGCATCGAGCTACACCTACAAGTGTAGGTGTCAGTCTCCGTGGTGTAGTGGTAAGACACTCGCCTGGCGTTCCGCGAGCGCTATGTCATGGGTTCGTATCCTGGCCGGGGAGGATTTACTGGGCGCAATTCCTTAACTGTAGCCTCTGTTTAACGCAACAGTAAAATGTGTACTTGGATGATAAAACGATTCTTCGCGGCAGGGGATCGTATTCCAGGGACCATAGGATTAAGGACTTGCCCGAAACGCTACGCGTACTAGTGGCTGTACAAGAATGTAACAACTCTTGTATATATCTCAAAAAAAAAAAATATGTAGCTGTACCTGAGTATCCAATAATTACGTTTCTGCATGACAACTCTCCAGCTGCATCGAGCTACACCTACAAGTAATCTAGCACATGTTTACCACATGGGGTCTGCGTTAAGGTGAAAATATTTATAGAGATCACCAACCCAGAGTCGGGAGGGGGAGTCAGTGGCTGAGCGGACAGAACACTGGACGCGTGATCCTGTGGTCCCGGGTTCGAACCCAGGCGCCGGCGAGAAACGATGGGCAGAGTTTCTTTCACCCTATATCCCTGTTACCTAGCAGTAAAACAGGTACCTGGGTGTTAGTCAGCTGTCACGGGCTGCTTCCTGGGGGTGGAGGCCTGGTCGAGGACCGGGCCGCGGGGACACTAAAAGCCCCGAAATCATCTCAAGATAACCTCAAGATAACCCATTCATTCCGCTGTACTATGCTGCGTCTGGCTTTTGATTAGTTATTGGACTCATCATCAAATTAAATTAAATAATAAATTATAAAACCATTTACCTTATTCATGTCAACAAAGTTCATGAGTCCAGCATCAATTATGGTGGTGTCCATGTTCATCTCGGCGCCCCACATCTTGAAGCCCTTCTCCAGGCGAAGCACATTGAGCGCCAGGGTACCGAAGTCCCCCACACCTGCCACACCATTTTTTATGACAAAATATTGTGCTGCATTGCTGTACGTATGGTGAACTATTGTAATTATGATGCACTACTTATGGGATTGGAATGAGAATAAACCAAAAGGTTTGTGTTGATTCTTACGCACCATTGGGGGTATGGTTCTGAAAAGTCTGTCTAGTCTTTCGTATCTTAGGGGGGGTATATTTCCACAAGGTCTGCATTGCCCTACACATTATTGGATATGTTTCCATAAGGTCTGCATAGTCCTACTCATGTTATGCTTAATGCTCATTCGTTTACTTACAACTGACTTATTAATAATTTTCACCATATTATGCATTTGTATATGAGTTTCGTACACTTAATAAAGTATACTTGGCCTCTTGTAAAAACTCCCAAACTAATTTTACCTCTGAGAAATCTGTCACTCCCAAGTTGTGAGCTCACAAATGGTATCTGAGCTATCCAAGCAATCAGAACAAATTCACCAGGAAAAATAAATAGCAAAATAAATGTTGACAGTTTGCCACTATAACTGTCAGTTGCTCACCAAACTGGTGGCCGTGGTGATGCAGAGCTTGGTAGAGCCCAGCAGTGTGAGAGCGCGGGTGGTAGAGCTCCCAGCCCAGCTCCCCAGTGTAGGAGAGTCGTAGAGCGGTCGTCTTCACCCCGGCCAGTGTCACCTGTCACAAGGAAATAAGTCATTATCAAAAGTAGGGGTCCAAGCCCCGACGACTACAATATTTGTCGTTCCCGACTTGGACTTCGCCCTCACAACTGGGGATCCCGTGTTCGATTCCCGGGCGGGACAGAATTGGTTGGGCACGTTTTCTTTCACCTAATGCATTTGTTTACCTAGCTAAGAGAGGTTGTGATGACAAAGGTCAGGTTGAAGAGCTAATGCTGACTAAGGTCGTGTGAAGTGAGGCCATGTTAATAAGAGTGAATTAAGACATTGTGAATGTAGGGGAGGAAGAGTAGAGGAAAGGCTTAGTTTCGAGCGCTGAAGCGAGCACTCGAACGCTGCCAGCGAGCAGTGTGGGCATCACACAGCGAGTGTTCACTCCTGGTCACCATCATGTGCCTCTTTGTATCAACAACGCACAAGAAATACTATATAAACTATTGCCAGTAGCTGCAAATAGTTTATATAATGGGAAAGGATGATGGAGGTCTCATTAGTGGTAAAACAAAGCGGGACCTTACACTGTGTGTGTGAAACAGCCGACATGTTGACCTTGAAATGATAGCACAGTGTTGTGGTGTTAACCTGATGTGACACCTCTTCTATTGTCTCTAGTCTTAGAATTTGTGTTATCTCTGCATGGGCGATTACTATCCCACCCCACTAAAGTGGAATAGTAAATAACATTAATTTAACGTACCCCCAACTGTATATAATGTAGCGAGTAGATTATCCCAATAATATACTCGCTCCAAATGCATTGTTAACCGTTACAATAATTTTAATCAGTAGACTGAGACAAAATGGTACAACAATTCTTACTTCCTTGCATGAGAAGAAGGGAAAGTCTTCCTTGAACGCTGGTGACAGACTGGCAAGGATCTCCCTGGAATTTGGCCCGGCGACACTGAGGCAGCCCAAGTCTTCTGTCACATTGGTGAAGCTCACCTTCCAGTCTTCCAGCCGGGCCTGCTCCTTCAACCACCTGCCGGGTGATGGGTGTTTATTGTCGTTCTTGTTTTACTCTCGTGTCTCCTGTTACTATGTCAACATGCTTACCTTTACACTACAACTCTTGAACTTACCTAAAAGTCAATATCAAAATGTTTTACTCTCGTGTCTCCTGTTACTATGTCAACATGCTTACCTTTACACTACAACTCTTGAACTTACCTAAAAGTCAATATCAAAATGTTTCTGTGAATAATTCCATTTCTCCCACACTACCCATCAACATTGGTGTTCCTCAGGGCAGCATACTTGGCCCTCTCCTCTTTCTCATCTATATTAATGACCTTCCAAATGCCTCTCAACACCTCAAACCAATTTTATTTGCTGATGACACAACCTTCATTTTCTCCAGTCTGAACCCCTCTTACTCTGGATGGTACTGTAAATACTGAACTAAATAAAGTCCATCTTTGGCTAACAGTTAACAAACTCATCTTTAACATTTACAAAATCTTCTATATTTTGTTTGGTAATAAATCTTTAGCTCAAATTAATCTAAGAATAAACAGTATCCAAATTAGTAACAAAGTAGATGGTAAATTCTTTGGTGTCTTCATCGATAACAAGCCGAATTTCCAGGGACACATTCTAAATATAGTAAAAAAAAGTTTCTAAAACTGTTGGCATTCTTTCTAAGATCAGATATTATGTACCTTTGCCTGCCCTGGTGATACTCTATTACTCTCTCATCTATCCTTATCTAAAAAAAAGTCTCCGTGGTGTAGTGGTAAAACGCTCACCTGGCGTTCCGCGAGCGCTTTGTCATGGGTTCGTATCCTGGCCGGGGAGAATTTACTGGACGCAAATCCTTAACTGTAGCCTCTGTTTAACCCAACAATAATATGGGAACTAAAATGGGAATCGTATTCCAAGGAACATAAGATTAAGGACTTGCCTGAAACGCTACACGTACTAGTGGCTAAATTATTATTATATCTAAAAAAAAAAAAATTATGGTATTTGTGCTTGGGGTTCTACTACACAAAATCACCAACGTCCTCTAATTATTCAACACAAAGCTGCTATTAGGACAATATCAAACTCTGGCCCCAGACAGCACTTGGTACCCTTACTTAAATCTTTGAATATGTTAGATAATAAGTCACTGCACATCTTCTCAAATGTACTCTATATATTTAAAACTCTGAACTGTAATGCCAATCCTGACCTTAAACGCTTTCTAGACGGTTGAAACAGAACCCATGGGCATCACACCAGAAACAAGTACCTATTTGATATTCCAAGAGTGCACCTTAACCAAACTAGAAATGCTTTGCAAATCAAGGGACCCAGAATGTGGAATGACCTTCCAAATCATGTCAAAGGCTGTACCTCTCTCAACCAATTTAAGAGAAAAACTAAGTACTACCTAATAAACTCCATGTAACCTACCTTACCCCCTAAATGTCAACCCCATATCTTGCTATTTTCAAACAATACTGTTTGTTGACCAATTTGTTTGCTGATTTCTGCGATGTCTTCCCCTTCCCCTTTTCAACTCAATTTATACTTTAATCTCAATTAGTATTAAGTTCGGATGGTTGAGTGGAGGGAGGGAGGGGAAGAGGGGAAGAGACAGACAGACAGACAGAGAAAGAGAGAGAGAGAGAGAGAGAGAGAGAGAGAGAGAGAGAGAGAGAGAGAGAGAGAGAGAGAGAGAGAGAGAGAGAGAGAGAGAGAGAGAGAGAAGAGAAGAGAGAGAGATACAGTAATCAGAGACACACCTGAGATCATGGAGCTCGACTCCTGAGCCAGTAATCACGAGGAAGGTGTTGTCGCTGGTCCTGGTCACTGTGAGCTCGGCGTACACTCGCCCAGTAGGGGAGAGCAGGTGGGTGATCACGGTCCGACCCACCTGTGGTACACTGAAGTACACTTTTATTAGTACACTCAAGTACCCAAATATTAGTACGCAAGAATATCAACCCGTCTTATTTCATATTAAGAATGTGCTGTACTTTTCTAACAATAGATTATGCATGACAGTACATTCATACACAATGAAAATGTATTAATTTATTTTAAGTACAGTTCTGGGAAGCTTACAAAGATATATTAGTCTCATGTTCTTAGTTGTCACTTGCAAACATTTTGCAATTTGTTAGAAATCAAATTTGTCACAAATTATTTTATAAGATGAGTGTAATTGGCATAACAAATTTAAAAACGGACTATTTACTATCAATATTGTGAACAATGTATAGTTTTGCCAGAAAAGTTGCCCACAGTGACGTTACTGCTTGGTGTGAATGTTGTATGTCGCAGATGTTGTATGTCGTGTGTGTGTGTGTGTTGTATGTCGCAGATGTTGTATGTCGTGTGTGTGTGTGTGTTGTATGTCGCAGATGTTGTATGTCGTGTGTGTGTGTGTGTGTGTTGTGTGTCGCAGATGTTGTATGTCGTGTGTGTGTGTGTGTGTGTTGTGTGTCGCAAATGTTGTATGTCGTGTGTGTGTGTGTGTGTGTGTTGTATGTCGCAAATGTTGTATGTCGTGTGTGTGTGTGTGTTGTGTGTCGCAAATGTTGTATGTCGTGTGTGTGTGTGTGTGTGTTGTATGTCGCAGATGTTGTATGTCGTGTGTGTGTGTGTGTGTGTTGTATGTCGCAAATGTTGTATGTCGTGTGTGTGCGTGTGTGTGTTGTATGTCGCAAATGTTGTATGTCGTGTGTGTGTGTGTGTGTTGTATGTCGCAGATGTTGTATGTCGTGTGTGTGTGTGTGTGTGTTGTATGTCGCAAATGTTGTATGTCGTGTGTGTGTGTGTGTGTGTGTTGTATGTCGCAAATGTTGTATGTCGTGTGTGTGCGTGTGTTGTGTGTCGCAGATGTTGTATGTCGTGTGTGTGTGTGTGTTGTATGTCGCAGATGTTGTATGTCGTGTGTGTGTGTGTGTTGTATGTCGCAGATGTTGTATGTCGCAGATGTTGTATGTCGTGTGTGTGTGTGTTGTATGTCGCAGATGTTGTATGTCGTGTGTGTGTGTGTGTGTGTGTTGTATGTCGCAGATGTTGTATGTCGTGTGTGTGTGTGTGTTGTATGTCGCAAATGTTGTATGTCGTGTGTGTGCGTGTGTTGTATGTCGCAAATGTTGTATGTCGTGTGTGTGCGTGTGTTGTATGTCGCAGATGTTGTATGTCGTGTGTGTGTGTGTTGTATGTCGCAGATGTTGTATGTCGTGTGTGTGTGTGTTGTATGTCGCAGATGTTGTATGTCGTGTGTGTGTGTGTGTGTGTGTTGTATGTCGCAGATGTTGTATGTCGTGTGTGTGTGTGTGTGTGTGTGTTGTATGTCGCAGATGTTGTATGTCGTGTGTGTGTGTGTGTTGTATGTCGCAGATGTTGTATGTCGTGTGTGTGTGTGTTGTATGTCGCAGATGTTGTATGTCGCAGATGTTGTATGTCGTGTGTGTGTGTGTGTTGTATGTCGCAGATGTTGTATGTCGCAGATGTTGTATGTCGTGTGTGTGTGTGTTGTATGTCGCAGATGTTGTATGTCGTGTGTGTGTACTTACGTATCTTTTCTTATCTACCACTGCCTCTGGGGAAGTGAGGACTTCCTCTTCATATACTGTCCACTGGCTTTGGTGTACCTGTTGCCTTATAATTTAACTATCCCGGCGTTCAAATTCTTTGTCGAATCTGGCTTAACGTTGTGGATGGAGGTGATTTTCACAGCTTCATTTCCTAGAGCATTGCGCTTGTTGAGCAGCCGTACAGGATAGGAGTATTTCCTTACACTTCTTCGACTCATCTGCGTGTTTAGCTTCCACCCGTGTCCACTTGTCCTTTCTTTCAGTTTGAAGAGGTTGTCCCCCTCTATTTCCCCCCTCAGTATCTTGTATGTTGTGATTATATCCTCTCCGTTTCTTTACATCATAGTTTAACCTTCTTAGTACTGGCAGGAATCTTGTTACAAACCTATGTACTTTTTATATTTTGTTATTGTTCTTCACAATGGGTGGGTTCCATGCCGGTACCGTATATTCCAGTACTGGTCTAATAACTGGTGTGTAGATTATCTTGAAAGAGACCTAATTTAAGTTTCTAAACTTTGTTCTAATGTTCGCCAGTGTCCCATATGCTGTCGATGTTCTCCTGTTCATGTGTGCCTCCGGTGTTAGTGTTGGAGTTATATCAACTCCCAAGTCTTTCTGCTTTTTTCCGATTCCTGTAGTTGCCCTCCCCCTTATGGTGCAAAAACCTCCTCGTCTCCTTTCTTTACCAACTTCAATTCCTTACACTTGTTGGGATTGAATCCCAGCATTCATAAGCTTGCCACTCTAGAAATTTGCTAATGTTCTACTTATAACTTCCTGCAGTCATCCTCTGTCTTTACATTCCTCATCATCTTTGTTTCATCTGTAAACATTGACATGCATGACCCATCGACTACCTCAGGTAGGTCGTTACATTTGGACCAGTAGTGGTCCCAGGATCCAACCTTGTGGGGACCACACTTGTTACATTTTTCAAACTCGAAACCTACTCTTTGTCTATGACTCTTTGCTTTTTGTGTTTCAGAAAGCATGTATGTGTTGCCTGTCGTGAGTGTTGGATGTCACGGGTCTTAGTTAAACAAAAATAAAGGGTACAAGGCGGTATGAAGCGTCGACTCTTTCTTATAATTTTATATGATGATGAAGAGATCATCAAGGCAAATAGGGGGGGACCATCGACAGGCCGCCGGCTTCCTGTCCTCGTCGAGGCATACGTCGAGGTAAATTTAGGTATACTATGTGGGTTGGGTTTACATGTGTGGGTATGCAGACGATGAGTCACAATAACGTGACTGAAGATATGAGGACCAAGCCACACATCGTAAGATGGAGAAACAACGTCGTTTCGGTCCGTCTTGAACCATTATCAAGTCCTGTGAGTGTAGGGTTCGAAACGTCTTCGTTTCTCCATCTTCTGATGTGTAGTTTGGTCATCATATGTGACTAGCGTTTACGTGTGTGGGTTGGGATGTTTGAGCCATTGTGATCTATTCTCTGCATCAGTAAGGTATACTTCACCGGTTGGCCGTGACGTAGTGGACAAATGCAGCAGCCTGAGGTCCCTCGACAATTATCTTAGCAAAAGGCGTGAGGTCAATAATCCCCGCTGAGGTCATCACCAAGTTTACTTCTCTCCCAACTGCCTCGTGCCAATTTGTTCTGGAAATATATTTGCTCTTTAGTCATCATCTCTAAACACTCCAGCCTTCACATTTCCCTGGATGCGGGTTCTGGGACAAGTGATTTCAAGAGACATTAGGGAAAACAAGTTTTCTGATCATCTTGGTGGAGTAGGGAATGTATTACTGGACTGAACACATGGACCCCACCACTGAACACATTGACCACCACCACTGAACACATGGACCCCACCACTGAACACATTGACCACCACCACTGAACACATGGACCCCACCATTGAACAAATGATCTGGACACATCAGTCCCACCACTGGACTGAACACATGGACTGGAATGGACCCCACCCCACCCACAGAACTACCGAGGGTGGGGTAGGGAAATATAACCGTGAGGAGGCCAAGTGACTTGGATAACGGAGTGTCCCTACAGCTGTTGCATTGACTTGATATCGTCATGGATATCACTAAGGACCCTGCCCTAACAGCGAGAAGCTGCGGGAGAACTGCCGACACTAAGCATTCATACACATATTTTTGGAGATCCTATTCAGAATCTCATCAATTCGTAAGAGAGCAGCTAGGTGATCAGCCTTTTCCTTCAGACTGGGCTTCAGCCACACGCGTGCCTGGCCGATGGGAATGGAATGAAACATTCAAGTCAACTGAGTGAAGGTGAACATGCAGGTGAACATGCAGGTGAACATGCAGGTGAACATCATCAAGGACTGCGAGTTCGTCTGAAAAAGAGAGATCAAAATATTGGGCCTAAGTAGGTGGACCATGATATGAAACGTACTAGTATTCTAAGGAATGGGGCAAGACAGAATATAATGTATGGGGCCAAGGACGCCCAGGCCACGGAAGCGTCAGGAAAGGTCGACGATGGAGAAGAGGAGCCGGGACCTGGGGAGGTCATGGCCTAACACAAGAAGCTCCCCCCCCCCCGGGACCTGGCCAGATCATGGCATAAAACAAGAGCTTCCTCTCGGAAGTTGAGGAAACCAATCTTCTAGAATGGCTTGATTCGAAGGCCTGGTCGCCTGCCATATAAGTCTGAGATGAAGGAATGAAGGATGTGACTAAAAGGAGGTAACTTTCTGGGAAAGTGGTACTAAAGGCTAAGGAATACCACCTACCAGGGCCATCATGCACTGTCGCAGGACAGGGTGCATCGTCTCAACTAACACTCTCTCTTTTCAACAGCGAAGACCTACTATTTTATACATTCGCCCACACTGGTGCAAAAATCCCCTCTCCCCTTTTACTCTTGTCTAGACGCCCAAATTCATCTACGCAGGGCGGCCCATCATAGAAGATCCCTCTGTCAGGTGGTTCGGTAATCTGCTCAAGTGACTGAAGTCTGTATGTGTCTTAGCCCGTACGCCAGCTCATCAAGTTGGAACAGAACAGAAGCAACCTGTACCTATCCAAGAAGATACAGGTATAGGAGCCCCTCTATGTGTCTTAGCCCGTGCGCCAGCTCATCAAGTTGGAACAGAACAGAAGCAACCTGTACCTATCCAAGAAGATACAGGTATAGGAGCCCCTCTCGCCATGACAAGGCGACATCCACGAGATGGAGGTTGTTTAGCTTGTTTAATATCTTCATGTTAAGTGTCATATTTAAATAATCTCATTATTTTTTAATAATATATACAGCCTATAATTACCTTCTAAAACTGGGGCAGTACTGCGGTGTTTCTCCAGGAGAAGCGAACCAAGCAGGCTGCTCCCATCCGCTGTGGATCTGCATGCAAGCTCCACGACTCTCCAGGATGTCATGAGCCCCCGACACCCTGCTTGTGGGTCGACCTGTAGTATACAATATCATGAGCCCCCGACACCCTGCTTGTGGGTCGACCTATAGTATACAATATCATGAGCCCCCAACACCCTGCTTGTGGGTCGACCTATAGTATACAATATCATGAGCCCCCGACACCCTGCTTGTGGGTCGACCTGTAGTATACAATATCATGAGCCCCCGACACCCTGCTTGTGGGTCGACCTGTAGTATACAATATCATGAGCCCCCGACACCCTGCTTGTGGGTCGACCTATAGTATACAATATCATGAGCCCTTGACACCATCCTTGTAGGTTGACTTCTGTTAAACAATATTGTTTACAGTGTGCTCCACTCCAACGAACTAATTGAGATCGACCTCATCCGTTCCATCCCAACTTCCGTTGCATCTGGAGTCAGGACAGCCTTGACCATTTTCAAGAACAATAATGATTTCCTTGACCGGAGCAATACAACATTTAATAATTCATATGTAGACTAGGAGTCACAATAACGTGGTTGAAATATGTTGACCAAACCACACACCAGAAAGTGAAGTGACGACGACGTTTCGGTCCGTCCTGGACCATTCTCAAGTCGATTGTGTCGATTTAATAATTCACATTTTAACAAAATTCTTTATATCAGTCTCATGCTATAATACACTTGCCATCACAGATGGAGGGACAGGTAAATACCTATCCATGGATAGAAGGCAGGCTGCCACTTGCTCTCTCCAGAGCACAAATAATTTTAAGTAAAAGCTTGTAATACAGGAATGTAATATGCTTTTATAGATATTGTTAAAAAAAAAAACTAATTGGGACTTTCAATATAGAAACAGCAGTTCTGATTTATTCCCCTCCGTTTCCCTACGAGTAAATTCTTGGATATTCCACCGCAAACAAATGTTTAGTGGATACCGTGGGGTGATTGCGAGGATCAACGTCCCCGCGGCCCGGTCTCTGACCAGGCCTCTTAATGTTACACAAGACTACCCACACACCGCTCTTGTGCCAGGTAAGGCCACTACGGGCTCCCATAGCCCGTGCTACTTGCCCCGCTCCTGTGTCAGGTAAGTTACGGGCTCACCATAGCCCGTGCTACTTGGAACTTGTTCCGAGTAACTGAATCTATAACAACAACAACATACAAGACTATCGATTACCTTCTCCATATCTAGGAACGGCCGGAAATGAGAAAGGTGTACCTGACGCCGCCTGGCGGGGGTGTGGCGGGGCCTGGCGGGGGTGTGGCGGGGGCCTGGCGGGGGTGTGGCGGGGCCTGGCGGGGGCCTGGCACCGCCTGGCGGGGGTGTGGCGGGGCCTGGCGAGGCCTGGCGAGGCCTGGCGCCGCCTGGCGGGGGCCTGGCGGGGGCCTGGCACCGCCTGGCGGGGGTGTGGCGGGGCCTGGCGGGGGCCTGGCGAGGCCTGGTGGGGCCTGGCGCCGCCTGGCGGGGACCTGGCGAGGCCTGGCGCCGCCTGGCGGGGACCTGACCAGAGGGCGTTCATGGTCATCGTGATACACACAATGAGAAGTATACCACGCTGCTCGTAGATATACACTTTAGTACCGAATTATATTGAGGATTGAAGTATACTTGCTGGATGGTCAGTACGCTACTGTGGTGACCTTAATAACTCTCACGGTTCATAGGCCTGAAGATCAACACCGAACCAAAAACCTCGTCGAAATTTCAGCGCAGCCGTCCATGAGAGACTAATATTGTACCACCCGTGGTAACTCCGGGGGGGGGGGGAGGGGCTCGGAGGAATTTTTGGTATCAGTACAGTCTTGCTTTTGGCAAATGGCAGAAGCTCTACTTAACTACTGTCAATGTTATTATAGCTAATATTATGTCTCTGTGAAACAAATTTTTTTAGCGGGATAAATAAACCAATTAAGGAAAGATAATTTAGTATGGATGGTTCTCATACACTAATGAAGTACCCAAGTGAACCACAAAGACATTTGAAAAAATTTGTAAGGATCATAGTAGGGAATGCAGAGAATGCCCTTAGAAGTGAGCTGGTGGAGACACGCTCCTTGTAGTTTGAAACGTAGGTATCGTAGGAATGTAGTAAACACTTGATTAAAAGTTGAGAGATGGGGTCAAAGAATCGAGCTCAACCCTCACAAACAAAGTTAGATGAGTACAAATAAGCGAAACTAACGGGTAAAGAAGTACTTCAATTTACTATTAACACTGTACAGACACTAAATTTCAAATCAAATTTTATACCCATTTAGCCTACTATTATGTGAACTATATGTTCCTGTGTGTTATTAAATGGCGAGTGCATCAAAACAAATTAGATTAACATGTGATTATATACATTGACAAAAATATGCATTACAGGTGACTCAGATGAATCAGAAGTTGCTTCAGTTTTGTCATGGAAAATATTGACTAGGCTTCAACCCGTTAAAACAAATAATGTCTTACCAGCATATCTCTCTTCGTGTGGGAATGTAAGTGCATTATTCATGCCGTAGCTCTCCCTGGCCTTCGCCAGAACATACTCATTACTCGTCCAGGAGCCAAACCTGAGAGGGTCACACTCGGTCAACTCAAACGGTGGCTCCCCCTTCATGATCCAGTCTGCGAGGTACTTACCGATCCCACCGCCGTGTATAATACCATACCTATCGAGAGGGGGGAGAAGAATGACTTTCATGATAAAGATTCTAAAGTATGTTATGTTTCATGAAAAATACAAAAATGATTCAATATTATAGAAAGTGGGCAATCTTACAGGGCTTGACTTATCTAAAGTCACATAATATATTTCATGTTTTAGCCCACAGTGCTCTGTATTTCACACAAGACTGAATCTAATACATAAACAAATACCTGTTATGAGAAAATCATTGGAGCAAGATGTGGATCTATTTTGAGGTTATCTTAAGATGATTTCGGGGCTTAGCGTCCTCACGGCCAGGTCCTCGACCAGGCCTCCATTTTGTTACACACCCCCAGGAAGCAGCCCGCAGCAGCTGTCTAACTCCCAGGTACCTATTTACTGTTAGGTGAGCAGGTGCATCAGGGTAAAAGAAACTCTGCCCATCTGTTTCCGCCTCCGCCGGAGATCGAATCCGGAACCTTAAGACTAAAAATCCCGAGCCCTGTCCACTCAGCTGTCAGGCCCCGTCGTGGGATCAAACGTGCGATCGAACCAGCATCCTGTAACACCAGATATGCGCCATAACCCCAGGTCACCATTTGCTAAAGGATATTAAACCTGGAATCCTACCGAGTCCACTAGGCAGTTTGAAGACACCGAGCTGGTGCCCAACCAGGTGCCTCCAGACTTCCTAGTGGACTCCTTAAGGTCCCAGGTTTAATAGCCTTTAGCATATGGTGATCTAGGGTTACGGTGCGCGTCTGGTAGGACCCAGAACGCTGGTCCGATTCCCCATCCAGCTCTAATTATTTTCTCGTAGATGTATGACACAAGGAAGTCACAATAATGTGATATGAGTTATATTATTGACAATAATACTATCTGGAATGCAGGAACGCCCAAGATTAGAATATTATTCATCGCAGACTCAATATATAATGTATTACAAAAACGGGTGAAATGACGAAACATTATTTTGTTAAAGTTTTAAAAGTAGCGAATCCTTTGAAGGCAAGATTTTATCGTGTATATTACACAAGGGAAAAATTCCAGTGTGAGCCCTCCTGCGTACACTGCCGAGATGGTCACTCTTCACTGTGTATACTC